GTAATCATATTTTCACGATAAGTTGTTAACTTGATGAATAAATCTTCCCATCGTTATTAATTAAGTTCTTTTGAAAAAAATGTTGTTTACCTTGCAGCAATTTTTACGTGTTCGCTACGGAATTCTGTCAAACGTTCAATACATTCGTTATAAAGTTGTTGGAGTTTATGGTCACTGCTTTTCAACACTAAAAAATGTGGAGTACAATTCTTCATATTTAATAAAGACATTTTACTACCCGTTTAGAAATCGTAGCATAAAACAGATCGTCATAATTTCGCAGTGAATATATTTGTTAACAAATCCTACCATATTCACGAATGGAAGGTCCGTCTCGAACATACAATACAAATTCTCTATGCCAACGAGGCATGTAATCTAACATAGATTCTAAAAAGGACTTTTCACCATCTAGAAAATAGTATTGGTATGAGACATGTGCCGCATCAACTTTTGTGATTTTACTCGTCATCAACAGTCGTAAGCTCAAAACATCAACTGTCTAAATGTCGCTACGTCAACGGTTCTTACGTCACCAAGTCAATTGTCGTAAACTGTGCAAATAAAATTAGTACAGTGCAACCAGCCAGGTTTCTTCCCTTTCCCTCCCCCAATGCAAGTATTTTTGTGTTCACTAATCGTGAGAACAATAGACTTCGAAAGACAAAACCCTTAATAATGGTTCAATATTTATACCTAAAGATGTAAGTCAGCAAGTTAACTACGCTACTGTATAAAATGTTAAAGATCGTGGGTCAGTTTGCAACTTTCTTTACTTTTGTTCTCTAATTTTTTTCTGTTACAGAATGCTTAAAAATCTCCCACCTTCAATTTTTGGATGACTAACTCCAAGAGCAGCATCAAAAAGATGAAAGGTCGTGCTTTGAGCTGCACTTCCTCCTGAAAACTAAATTTGTTCAAAGTATTCGCATTTAAGCATTCATCACCAAAATTATGGTCTCCAAATACAATTTCTTGTACATAAAATCAATAACTTGATCAATAAACTGAAACCCTACCGATGTATGTATGGTGATTCACGTGTGGAATTATGGGATTTACTATATAGAGTGAATACAAAGTCAAAATGCTCAGAGAGGGGCAACAAACCTGTTAATTGTGTGTAATATTTTGCCAATTGCAAATGCCTAGAAGATGACAAGCTTTGCGCTGGGTTTATATGATTTAATTCAGAATAATATATTTGCTAAGAGCATTTAAAAATGAGCTGACACTTTTGTTCAGTTCCAAAGCATTTTGATATTGTTACCGTACTTGACGCTTCAAATTTATTTACCATTAATGGAATTTCACTGACTCCTTCGTACAAAATTCCTTCAGGTAAGGTTTTGTTCCTTTTCCACCTAAATTATTGAACAATCTCTTCGATATTTCTCTCTTTATTTTATAGTATTGTTTAGAGTTAATTCGTGTAAAATTGGGAAGTGTTTATTGACAATTTAAGAAAATCCTCCAAGAAACTTTACAATATGTAATAAAAAGGAATACACAGTAAATTTTTTCATCAGTTCATCAGCTAACGGCGTCTTAAAAATACTATACTCCACTTGTCAACAACTAAAACTTTGGCTGACAACTGACAACAGTGAACTATAATATTAAGTGGAACGCTGACTCTAATACTAGGGCTACAGAGGCCATTTTGAAGCCAGCCATGGTGCCTTTTTATCTGCGTTTATAGGCATCTTAATCTCGTGAGGTAAAATTTATCATGGCCATTTGTGCTAGTTTATTTTATTTATATCGTTGTTAATTTGTTAAAATAATATCATTGAACTTCTAAACGCAGAAAAACTAGAATCTGTATTGCTTCAAAGATGGTGACACAGTTAGCGTTCCAGTTAATATTATAGTTCATTGGTTGACAAATTTACCTCAGAATGCAATATTTTACGTGCAACGTTACAAAGGGCTTAAATTTAAAACATCTAAAACAATCAATATAGTTTTTGCTACTTTGACTTATAGAGTCGTTGCTAATTAATATCATGACGTCATAATGTAGCTGAAGAAGCTGTTGACCAGGGCCTTGCAATTTTTCTCAGCAGTTCTGCTTATCAATTACACAGAATTAACAGACTCAAGTTTCACATTTTGCATCACGTGCAGGTACATGTGATCTTGGTGGAGACAAGTTGTACTTACCCAGCTAAAAATACACGCAGTTTTGTATAGAAGAACTCCGGGCTACAATGCTCTAAATAACAAATAACTCTGAGCATCAGAATTAAGTTATGCATGATTTCTTAACAAAATGAAAAATTGATGTATTTTACCAAACATTCTATTTAATATTTTCTTCAAACGTCCAACAGTTTCTTGTAAAATAGATAAACACGTGATCAACAAATCTGTATTCTTATCCACGACGGCCTAAATATTGACAAACTTTTATAAATAACTATACGTTTCAGAAAAACTAATAAATATTTATCGGTAGTATGAAAGGGTTTAACATGACATATATTCAAAATATATAGGCTATAGGGCGACAGTTAAATAATTTATTATCCCATATTTCCTTTAACATCCTATTTATACCTTTTGACCGGCAACAACACTCTATAAGAAAGCAAAAAGTATAAATGAAATAAATAAACGAGTATTTTCTATCTTGAAACCATGTGTTTGTGAGTCAGTCTGTAAGCATGATAACTCGAAAAATACCGAAACTACTGTTACAAAGTTTATTCCATCGGTAAACGAAAAATTGTTAAGGTAAAATTTTAAAAATAACATGTAAAATTGTAGTTTTCATTATTTGAAGTTTTCCTTGCAAAAGGGAAAACCGCTTTATTGTCGACAACTAAAATTTTACACGTTAAGTAGTCGACAACATATTCTACCGACGATGTTTTTGCTTGTCGAATAGATCCCTTTAGTTATCGACTGCAAAAAGTTGTCGACAGCAAAATACCTAGAATATGTGGAGGCCTAACTAAGTAACTAATGTTTGGTTGAATTTGGATAAAAATTGAACGAGAAATGAATAAAATTTAGTTTTGATTGTTTTCCCATCAATTACTAAATGGTTTCTAAATCCATATGACCTCCATAAACGTAATGCTGTACATTTTGATCAAAATTGGCAAAAACTTAATAAGTGCTCACTTAATCAAATCTCCTGTCTCTAATAAGTACCTCCTCTATAATAAACTATTCTCTGAAAAGGTTGTTGACGGACTCTATAAGCTATTATTTTTTCCAGATTCCCAGCGGCACTTAATTTATTTGATGTAAATCTTGTTGAAAAAAGCAACAGAATCTCAAGATTTTTTCTTATATCAACAGTTACCTTAATCCCAGGAACAGCGTGCATTTCTATCTGCCAAGTGACAGCATAAAACCAAAATTCATCTTTTGCACCTGAGAATAAGAACTGAGTTTCGATGTTGTCGATATCCAGGAATCTGTTTAGAAGAAAGACAAAGAAAGATTACGGAGACGATTTTGTGAAGATGTTAACCACTGATTGTTAAATGTTTATTGTCATGACGATTGACGATATTGAAAGGTTGTAATCCCTTTTGCGCTAACTTTCCTTGAGTCATCTTTTATCTTCCAGTTGTTAAGAATGCCACTCCAGTAACTGAAGACAGGACAGGATCCTAAATGAGCAAAATATTTAAAAGGTTTTGTTGAGAAAATGCAATATCTTATCAAAGTATTGTGCGAAGGAAAATTTCTCAAAGCAAGAGTTATTAAATGATAAAATGGGATAAATTTCAATATATCTTAAAATTTTATGTTGTTTTTTTTTGTAAAATGAAAACTCTGCATTATACAGACGCAGCAGTCCAGATACTACATCTAAAGTGCTTATAAAGCAAGAATTTTGCTTTTCAATCTATATTATAAAATAAGCACAATGAAACGCGTGCGCTGATTGGTCTAGAGCTGTGTGCACATAAGTCTGTGTTATTTTATAAAGAAATAAAGACGTTTTTTGCGTTTGCACTAGCTTATATAAACCTTGGAGACGTTTGTGAGGACTCTCGAGCAGGTGCAACCCTCGACCTTCGGTCTCGGGCTTGCACTGATCTGGTCTTAAGTTCACCCAAAGTCTCCTCGGTTTGCATAAGCCTGTGCAAACACAGTAAACATCTTTTTTTTCTTAAGTTCTATTCAAAAGAACTTTTATATTGACCGTAGACTTTTTAAAACAGTTTATGTACAGCTATTTCTATTTTGAAGATATTGAAGTTTTGTAATGTCGTATTTTGTACAACCAGTGACGTCGTACTTCATAACAAGTGGTCGAAAGTTGGCAAATATCCTTCAGCTTCCTGGCAGCTTTTGCATTAAATGCTCAGGCAGAATTTTTTACCAATAACTATAATTAAAGACATTCATCTCTGCCCGGTCAAAGTAAAATATCATCAAATACACTTGATAGTTCAAATCATAAATATGGAATATCGGTTGTAAAAATTGGAACATTTTAAAGAGAAACAAAACTTTAATATCTTAAGAATGAAAAGAGATAAGAATATACAAGCTATTTTAGGAAATCTGCTGTGATTTCAAAAGTTTTGTTTAATAAAACTCTATTTTAAAAAGTATAAAGTTTCTAGCTCATAAGCACTTAAGGAAAAGAAATTTTCTCGTGTTTCTATAGAGAACGTAGCAAAGTTTTATACATAAATTGATAATTCCTCTTTTTAAAATTTTAATATTGTTTTTAAAAGGCTATTTTAAAAAGGAAATAGAAAACATATTTACTTAATTGTTTCTATTGAGTTGTATGAAACACTTTTTGCAGTTTATGAGAAACTCGAAATTGCTCTCGAAACACTTCTACTTCGTGCTCGAGCGTGCCTACGCCACTGAAATGAATAAATCTAGATGCTTATAGTTAAAATTACCAATGTGTTCTGCCACAGCAAACCAAGGTATAGCCAAATTGTTTGGTACAACCTAATTGAAACAAACGCAATGGTAAATTGGTTGTTCATAGATATTTCAAGAAAAAGTGATCTCTAATGATTTTTACAATGAATAAAGCGATTCCATACCTTTACGGGGTCATTTTCTCCATTTTGCCAAACATAACCATTACCAATGGCAGAAAGAGCTAGATGCGCTCTGGTCCAGTCTTCCTCGCTATCCAGTACAGCATGATCCAATAACGGCAACTGTATACTCAAACATTCAAATTCAAAAGATAAATATATTTTGTCTTTGAATTTTCTTATGAAAGAATGTGGAATTTGCGCTCTTGCAAAATCAAGATACTTAAGTACAACCTAACTACAATTTACTAAAAATAGTAAGTTAATGCATAATTTATCTAGCTATAATTTACTGATCCATATTAGTCTGTGCATAATCTATTATCTGGAACAAATAACTGCATTCCAAACCAGAATTCAGAAGGTGGATTCACAATCTAAAACTATGTATATCTAAGGAACAAACTGAAATCCAGAATCCCGCAACTTCAATTCAAAATTACAAAATTCAGTTTCGCGCACTTCGTGGAGGACGTATTCGCACAGCCATAAATTTATAGAGACATTTTTCTAGTCCTTTTCTTATTAAAGTTAAATTACGGCTTTTAACCTTTTTTCATTACATACTTAAATAATGGAACTGGATTTGAAGCTAATCCAAGCCTTCAACCGCCCGCTATTGGCACATTCTTTACCCACTTTTTCATGCTTGTTTCACTATAGAAGAATCTAGAATGTCATGTGTTCAGTTTGATGAAATCAAGAGCATCGACCATAACGAAACATTAGAATTTCGTTTATTCTGACGGCTCGTATTACATTTGATAACTAAAATATTTATCATATTTTATGATAGCATTTTGCAGTATATTGGGGTATTGTAATTGCTAAAGTTGACAACAAACTAATATTTTATCTAAAGTCTTTTTGCGCGGAATATATTTGGCGCAGTATTTATTCGTGCGCGAATTTTAATATAAGTTATAAAACAGTACACATATCTTAACAGAAGGTCCACTCGTGTCGGAACCTTAGATGTTCGTGTCCCTTACTTCTGAAGCAAATTCTAAGGAGACACGCCTTCCAGCAAGATAATTCTGCTAGATCACAATAGAAAATATAGATGTTTTTGCAAATATATCGTTTTGCACAACAAAGCTTGGAACAATATCGTCATCGCAAGATGATAACTCTTTGTAAAAATTTCGGCAAACTTTTGCTTGAAACGTGAATTATCAGTAAAATACTATTCCATATTGATTTTGTGAAAGTATCTTGCTGGGAAGTCACGCATACGTAGTGAAAAAATACGCCACGATTTTAGCCTAGTGGGCCTTCTGTTAGATGTCTATTCTGCGGTTATGCTAAAGTGAACAGAAAAGTGTTGTAGAAAAGATTAAGGATATACAACTCACTTTTTCCACGACCGCCCGCAGCTTTCCTGAGGCAATTAGTCGTGATAAATTTTGAAATACCTCATCCCAAGGTGCAAAGTATGGATTTGTGAATTTGAGCTGCAAATTGCGAATAAATACGAAAGTATATTAAACAAATATTATTACCTTATTACTGGTCAGTAAATCTAGATATAGTGTACCACCGTGTACAGTCGATGACCATCCCAAATGTAATTAATAACTATCGAAATAATTTATCTTAAGAAATTTGCTGCTCTAAAATAACTTACCAATGGATCTTTATCAGGAATAAAGCCACGATTGTAGGACACTTTAAAACGGTCAAATATTGGCGTTATACATTCCTTTTGAGCTTCTAACAACTCACAATTCATCTCACTGATTTGTTTGACAATAACCTGAAACTGGAAATTATGTTAGTTTTTTACGATATTTTAAGTGTGTCTTAAAGAAGCTCATATGTGCATTGTGCTAGAGTGTGGAAAGTGCACTTAAGTGTGCAACGTGCTGGCCGTTACCCCTATTTGAAACTGTCAAAAAATCAGTCGAAGAACGACAGTCCTGGGCCAAGCGTGTGATTTTTCAATGAAAATATCAAGTGTAAGTTTGCATCAACCTAACTTTCCATCCTGACCCATAAAAGAAATGTGATGTCGTAGCGTTGCCACATTTATGAGGATATCAATTTTCACAATTTTGACCTGAAAATCCCCAGATATATTCTGTAAGAAGGCAATTAGATGCGTTTTATTTGACGCTTCATTGAATTTAGAATAAACAGACATTTTTCTTTCTACCTTTGACATCAAACACACCCAATTCACACCCATCAAACACTTTCGTGATTATTAATACAAAAGTAGATCACTTATACTTTGTTTGAGTGTTTGAGTCGACTTTCACTCTTCAGAATCGATGCAGAAAAATGTAAAAATTTATGAAAGCTTTGACATGTTGTTTTGTTATCTCTGTAACTGCCAGACTTCTATGGGAAACTTTATGAATTCATCTGCTAAAGTGAAAAAGTGAGAGCAGTGTTTCATTTGGTATTTAAGTCTCAGTAATTCCATTCCTTTTGCCGATTTTGCCTCGTAAAGTGAAATGTAAATATGAATTTGGGGTTACCACGTACTGTAGTGATGTACTGTGTATTCGAAAATATATTTAAGTTTCTGATTTTCAGATAAAATTCTTAATTGCCACTTAACGTAATTAAATCACAAATACTAAACAACTCTAACTATTACAACGTCAAAATAAAATTTACACAATGATTAAACAAGTGACGTCTTGTTATTTTGTTGCGCAACGCGGCAAACTTGCGTGTGAAAATTACCGGTCGAATAATTTATATAATTGTCGTCGACAGTCAATAGTCTGACCGCACTTTTATACAAACATAGATAAGAAAGCGACAGAAAGTGAAAGGGGATTTTTTAACAGTTGGCGACTTTTGAAAACCAGCAGGATGTTGAATTTTTTTAAATAAAACACTTTTAGGTGTTAAACCAGTTCTGTCGTACAATTCATTCGTGTGAATGTCAACAATGGCGGAATCGACTCCTTCAAGTTCTTCGGAAGGCAATGAATTGAATGAAATGAGCGAACAAATCCAGCCAGTTCGTGTAACGTTTGATGATGTATCAACAGCTCAGTTTAGAATCCGAGATAGTGTGCCTCAAACTCCTTGCGAGGTAACATAGAAAGATACAAAATTTATAAATAAATAACTTTTGACAGTCTTACAATTCGTAACGTAAAAAGCTATTCTTGTATGATCAATATACCATATGAAATGTGGTTTGTCTACACCAATTTAACTTTTCATTTGTTCGTTGATTTTGATTGATTCTTTATTGAAATACGAACAAATGTATCGAAAACAATTTGTTTCGAGTTACGTTGTAATGTAATTTTGTGTTTATAAAACTAGCTGCAAAATATGACGGAGAAGAGAACGTTGTTTTGATCATTAATTAATTCTGGACTTGTCACAATTAGTCGACGTTTTATGTAAGACGCTTTGATTAAAGGTGTTCGAGGTTTTAAAATATTCTACAAGGAAGATCGAGAGTTCCGATCAGTTAAATGTAAAAGCCTTCGTATCTAGTAAGTTCTAAGAACTTTTAAAAAATCATCACAAATTCCACATGCATTATTGCCACAAGTAAAAAGGTTGTTTTGTTGACTTTCGCCAACGCAATTATATGCATGACAAACAATAGATCTAAATAGTCATAAATTTAAATCAGGGAAAATATTTTACAAAATTTATTGAAACACCTTGTCAACATGTTTCACGTTGACTTTGAAAATTAAAATTTCAAGTCTTACCTAAAACTTAAAAGTTATCAAATGAATTGTCTATTAATAAGCGTTCTGTGGCTCGCACGAGGTTCTTTCAAAACCGCTTTAAAGTTCGCATTTCATAAGGATTCTAATTGGCATCGCATTTAACTGACGGAAATCCTTCGACCAGTGAAGTTATTTTTCAAAAACACAATTTTCTGTCATCTTTACAGTATTCCAAAATATCCGATGCACTCGGTACTAATGTGTATTTCAAAAAAGATTACCTTTTACACACTGGAAGGTTTGTAAAATGTTTTATCTTCAGTAAAAAATGGCGAAGTTCTATTGACTAACGGTGAATCATATTGTTTTTCTAGTTTCAAGGAAAGAGGAGCCAGAAATGCGCTAAAAATGCTATCAGATGTACGTTTAACGCCCTCTTTTGTGTAACACATAATTCATGCAAAAACATCTCCCTTCAATGCATACACCACTCTCTCTAATTTACGTAATTTTCTCCTATACTTGTAGCATTTTTCTCTCTCTACTCCATATATCCCTGTATAATGCAACATCTACCTATAATTTACGTATCTCTATTTAACTCAAACGCTTCCAACTTATCATCATCATAGGATCAAAAGAAAAGGGGAGTGATAGCTGCCTCAGCTGGAAACCACGCCCTTGCTCTATCATACCACGGACAACAACTTGGCATTCCAGTCACGGTTGTCATGCCGAAGAATGCACCAATTAACAAAATTGCTTCGTGCAGAAAATACGGCGCCACTGTACACGAGCAAGGGACAGATCTCATTGATGTAAGTTAAAGAATCACTCGTTTCTTCTGAACGAATGCCTAAAACTTGAGCAAACGGTTCTTTGACGTTGCTTGGAAATATCATAAAATTTAAGATTTGATGCATTTATTGTTCCTTAGAAACTATTTGAATTGAAATGCTTGTATTTGTGAAACTTAAGAAATCCAATGGACATATAAACATCAAAAAATAAACTAATATTTATAAAATTATCCCAGAATACCCTGGTGTGTGTAAAATTATCCTAAGATGTGCTTTTGCAAATATGGTAAGGAAGTATACGTAAAAAGACAACTGCTAACTGTGTTTAACACTGACGTCCTTGGGACGTGTTAACTAAATTTACTGCATGTGTACGAACACTGTTGAAATGTAATCTTTGACAGTATCCCTTCAATGTTTTACTCTTCAAACTCCATTTAAACATTTTAAGTAATTTTGACCGTTCAAACAAGAGATTTATAGTAAAACATCTCTGTGTAGTTTTCAACCCCCTCCAGTTGTATTTACGAAAACCGAACCGTAACTATTTGTATATTCGCAATTCATTTCAAATTATCTTAACAGTCAAAAAACATCGCCCTGGAAATGGCTGCGACAAAAGAATTGCAATACATCAACGGGTATGTGACGCATAACTACAGCGAACATTTTTACTTAAACAGATTCTCACTATAGTATCAAATAGCAAAGTGTCCATCCTAGAAAGTTTTCGAAAAACGTGTTAAAAAAGAAACGATGCATTCGTGTGCCAATGAGAATACTTGTCATAAAAATTGTGTAGTAGAAGATCTTCTGTACTTAGGGTGTTCGCTTACTTTCAAAAAAACGATATTTTTTGATTTCTTCTTGATTTGAATCTATTTCTAAGATACGATGATCCCAGCATCATAGCTGGAGCCGGAACGATGGGTCTGGAGATAATGCAACAAGTCGATAATGTTGATGCTGTCATTATTCCTGTGGGTGGGGGCGGTTTGATTGCGGGCGTTGCCGTGGCAGTGAAGAAGCTAAGTCCAAAAACCCTTGTCATCGTGAGTAAATGATATAGTGCCAAAGTAGAGAGAATATTTAATGGGCATTCTTGATTTTTTATCCAACTTTAAAGTTCAAAAAGAGTACAAGTCAACTATGTGTTAATAATAATTAGGGTGTCGAATCGGAGCGCTGTGCAAGTTTTACGGCTGCAATAATGAAAGGCGAGCCAGTAAAGATAGGTGTGAATCAGGGAATGACCTTGGCTGACGGTAAATTATTTACTTTCTATAAATATCATTGGTTAATAGTTAATCATCAACAAAGCAATGATATCATTGGCCAGGTAAATGGTTGATTTAACTGTTATATTATTGCTGACGGCAAATAATCAAACGTGATTGTAATATCATTGACTGACGATATATGAATGATTTTGGATTTCGGTAAATAATTGATCGAGAAGAAACATCATTGGGCGACCATCATGATTACGTGTAATATTATTGGTTAACAGTTAATCAATAACATACACTGAAGCATTGTGAGCGACTGCCAGTCTTTAACGCATGCCAGTGTTTTGAAATAATTAAATCGCCTATAACTCGTCTTTTTAAGCTTAGCTACATTCTCCCGCAGGTTTATGCGTTTCAAAAGTTGGCACAAATGCTTTCCATACAGCAAATCCTCTTATTGATAGAATGATCACAGTAGAGTAAGTATTGACGAGAGAATGTAGTATAGTTTCACGGGTGATTTAGTTTTTCTCGTTCGTGACATTGTGTGGAATTTTCGCGATGAAGTTTTTTTTGTCAAATTTCATGAAAAATGCAGTGACTTCCCGTTTACATTAAGCAACATATTTTTGATCTGTCATGTATTTTACTGTGTATAAAATTTGAAAGTCAACTTTCACCGATATTTACTTTTCTTCATCACTTCCATGATGGATTTAAAAAAGAATTATGACAGTTAATAAAGAAAACCCATCTTAGTAGGTTCAGATTGTGAACTTTTCGACGTTTCTATTTGTTTTGAACTCAAAGCTTGTATGTGCGTATGACGACATGCTAGTTTGGTAGTTGTATACTTGTAGTTACATGATTTTTTCTTCATAAAACATTAATTTCTCACACGAATGGGAAAAAAATTGCTGCAAAATTTTTAATGGCTTCCATACTAAATATCTAATTGTTTGAATGCTCTGCGTTTTGTGGACATTCTGATGAAGTCGATTAAGCATCAATATGTCAACATTGTAAGAACTTACATTTGTTTTCTACTCAGCGAAGAGTACATCGCATTAGCTGTTTTGCGATTGGCCGAGGAAGAAAAAGCTACAATTGAAGGTGCTGGCGCAACTGGTCTTGCTGTCTGCCTAACAGATCTTGTACCTGAATTAAAAGGAAAAAAGTAGGAATGTTTTAAATTCCATAAGATTTCATTCTTGATTAAGACTCATTTGAAAATGGAAAATTTACGGTTAAGTGCTTTAATCGATCAACTAGAGTCTTATCTGATGTTGAAACTTGAATCATTGAATTTCTCCAGTCTAGTGTCTCCATCAGGAGTGATTTAATGTTGAAATTCGAGTTTTTATGTACTCTAGTCTTTTGTTTTCATCAGAAATGATCTGATATTGAAACTCGAGTTCTTGTATACTCCAATCTAGTGTCTTCATCAGGAGTGATCGAATGTTGAATTCTGCCTGAGTTCTTATATTATATACTCCAGTCTAGCGTCGTCATTAGGCGTAATCTGATGTTGAAACTTGAGTTCTTATATACTCCAGTGTAGTGTCTTCATCAAAAGTGATCTAATGTTGAAACTTGAGTTCTTATATATTCCAGTCTAGTGTCTTCATGAGAAGTGATCTGATGTTGAAACTTGAGTCGTCTTCATGAAGATAGATGTGTATTTGAGTTATAATACACTCCATTGTTGCATCTTCATTAACGGGCAAATATATTTTTATAAATGAATATAATGCTTTAACATATTTAGGGTTGTCATTGCTCTTTGTGGTGGAAACATTGATTCAAGTGTTTTGGGAAGGTGTTTGGAACGTGGCCTGGCCGTTGATGGTCGTTTAGTGCGTTTCGTGGTCACAATAAGCGACAGACCGGGAGGGGTTGCTGAGCTTACTAAACTGGTGGCCAGTGTTGGAGCAAGTGTTAAGGATATATTTCATGAAAGAGCTTGGTTGTTTTCCAGTGTTTTCAACGTCCAGGTAAGGCATTGATCAACACAGGAAATATTATGTATAAAACGTCATTAACATAGTAACTGCATGGACTGCATCAATTTAATTTCATATATCACAGTTTGTAAATAAGTAATCAAAGTACTCTATCTTCTTAAACCTATTTCATAGTGAGGTTGGTACATAAGAAATCAATGTACTTGATCTTCTTAAACTTATGTCATAGTGTGGATGGTACATAAAAAATCGATGTTCTTGATCTCCATATACTTATGTCATAGTGAGGATGGTACATAAGAAATCAATGTACTTGATCTCCTTATACTTATGTCATAGTGAGGATGGTACATAAGAAATCAGTGTACGTGATCTCTTTATTTTTATGTCATAGTGAGGATGGTACATAAGAAATCAATGTACTTGATCTCTTTATTCTTATGTCATAGTGACGATGGTACATAAGAAATCAAGGGGTTTGATCTCTTTATACTTATGTCATAGTGAGGATGGTACATAAGAAATCAATGTACTTGATCTCCTTATTCTTATGTCATAGGGAGAATGGTTTATAAGAAATCAAACTACTTGATCTCTTTATACTTATGTCATTGTGAAGATAGCACATAAGAAATCAATATACTTGATCTCCTTATATTTATGTCATGGTGAAGATAGTACATCAGAAATCAATGTACTTGATCTCCTTACACTTAAGTCATATTGAGAATGGTACATAAGAAATCAATATAGTTGATGTCCTTATACTTATGTCATGATGAGGATGATACATAAGAAATCAATGTTCTTAATTGATTTCTTTATACTTATGTGATACTGAGGATGTTACCCAAGAAATCAATGCAATATGTCAATTCCTTACAAAGTTTCAGCTCATACTTTCAATAACCCCTTCTGTATCATATGTAGGTCAAAATCGTGGCCGAGGTGCGAGACCGTGATCATGGGAACAAACTTCAGGCTGCTCTGAAGTTGAAGTACGGCGAAGAATTGATTTGGGGTGCTCATTATGAAAAAACTCCATGATGGAAATGTTTGAATGCATTAAATTAACCTTTTATAGAGAAAAACAGTACAAGAATGGTACATAGAAATTAATTAAATGCCATAATTAGTTATCACGATGTAGTAGTTATTTATTGTAAACAAGGAAAGCTATTTTCAGCACGCAGATCTGCCAGAAGCTGACTTCACGTTCTCCACCAATCACATTTCACGCCTTATGCCTTTATAACCACTCACGCCCTTCATGGTTTCATTACTTTATCTAGTTGCTATTTATAAAAGTTAACATGAAATGATGTGATTTTAATAATTTACTTTCCTCATTTTAAACAGTACATGTTTATAAAAACAATGTTTCATAGAAATAGAAGTCTGCCGTTGTCTTTTATAGTGTTTTAAAGTGTTTTAAACATTGCAGTGGGATTTTCAAGATTTTAAACAGAATGTAAACGTATAGTTGATAAGTTCGAAAACATGTTTAATTTCATAAAATAGTTTGCAGCTCTAATTTCTTCACATTTCTGAGTATTTCTGTTATGTTTAGCTTAGGATATTGGGACTCAGGAACCGAATTTTAAAATGTAATTTCTAAGTATTAACACTCGCTATCTTACTTAAAAAAGGCAAAAAATGATTAATTTAATTTGTTCGTTGTCAAAGGCAAAAACAGATGTTAGCTACGTTTTCCTTCTGTTTCGTCTGTGGTAAGGCTAATACCATTTTTTGATAAATTTGCCAGAATTATATTTGATTCATTAATTTAGTAAATGACAGAGGACGGGTTTCAGTCTTCTTGTCAGAAATTAACTAACATTCATGACTTTGGATGAGGATGACTTTGAAATAAAGTCGAAAATTTACAGTTCACTTGTCGTCTTGTTTTGATTCATATTTTGCAATCGCAAGATGTCTTGTCTCTTCCGAATTTGTTTTATATTATACTGTCAGAAATTCTTTTCAAATTTCCATGTTTAAATTGCCAAATTTTGTTTAAGGTATCAATTAATTTTTCGTCCTCAGTTTTAATCCGTGAAAACCAAACAGATTATTTAAGCACTTAAAGTATTAAAGTAAATGGTTTGAACTCGGGAGTATCGTTACATGGACTGTTTGTTGTACAGGAAATATGTGGGCTACATTACACTTCATACAAATCAACAATGACAATACTCAATCGACACCCTCACATTTCCTGTGCAGACAATACAATGACGTAAGAACCAGAAAACAAATACGGCTAACCTGAAGTTTACTCCTTATTTGACTCTGAAGATGACTACCACTAAGTTTGTCGAAACGTCAGTCAACAACAACAAAAACAGTCCTTCTAAGGACTATGGACGATCTACATCTACAAACACTTTAAGTAATAATAAAAATAAGTCAATGCTGTTCAGACTGACCAAAATATAGTGTTATGAGGACGGCTACTGCTAAGATACCGGCTGGCGTAGGTATTGACCTAATGTAGTTACTGTGGCTAGCTACAACAACACTGAAAATAGGTGTTTATATTCAGGGCAAACGGTGAAACTTTCTCAGATCATAAAGTGATAATAAAAAAAAAATTTCGACACTAAAATTGTTGTATGAATATTTTATACAGTGCGGTGTTTTAACTAAAATTGTTATTGAACAGGACTTTTAGAACATAACAATTTAACTAAAATTGTTATTGAACAGGACTTTTAAAATAACAGTAAAACGGTTCAAGCACATCTCTTCTTACTCTTGATATTAAGGTTTCTGCAATATCTGAAATTTCTGGTAGGAATTTCATAATTACAACATGAAAACTTCTCAAGAAAAGAATCTCCAGCTGGCTATAGTAACATATCTTCACTGCATGTACCCAATAATTCAAGCAGTGATTAATAAGCCTCCAGCCTGCAAGTTTGATCATGCTATGTAAATGTTTTGGCGTTCAATATGCAATGCCACATTGCTGGTTGTGTAAATCTTAAGAATGAAAAGAGCTTGCTTAAGCTGTTTCTGAAATTCAACTGTCATTTTAAAGTTAATTTTGATATGAGTAGCTATAATTTAGGCATGCAAATTTTTGGTACACTCCCAACTTACGATCTTTTTATGATCTTTTTATGATTTTATATAACATACGTAAATAATGTGGAACGAAGATATCTAATTATCTCGTCCTGTCGGCATACGATTCAGTTTTACATCTTCAATGGCCGTTGCACTTGCAGTTCCAATTTTGTGTTTTCTTTGTTCTCGCCATTCAGCAAAAAAAGACTGAAGCTTTTTCACCATTTCTTCCTCCATCTTGTCCAAATTGCTTGCATCGGGACAAGAATCTGGAAGATAACATGCATGACTCAATAAATAAGTGGATTATTGGTTGTATTGAAGCTCGAATACTTGAAACACGACTGCAAATATTTGTTACGCTAATAGGAACATTTGTAGAGCATTTGTAGCACGAATTGAAAATTTAGTCAATGCAATAAAACATTTCATGTGAAAAAATATTGTCACCATTTAGTAGCACGCTTGCAAAATTCACTTTCTAGTCTGCAGATGGGTTTCCTCAAACTATCACAGATGCTTCATAAATAAACAATAATCCAACATCAAAAAACTTTACTTGTTTTGCTGCCTTTAAAAACTGTTTTCCTGAGAAAGAACTCCCACACAATTCCAAGAAAGGCCATCACCCCGAGGAAAGCAACACACGTGATCAAAGATGGCCAAAATACATCACCGGTTGGATTGAAAACGCTATCCGTGCGAGCAGTGGCGTCGTATTCATCCGACTGAACAAATATTTAAAATGGAAATGAAAACTCATACTTTTGCAACTCTCATACAACAATTTACAACTGAATATTTCGAGCAATCGATTAATCTTTATTAGATATTAACAAAAGATATTCACTAGCAAAACATCAGAAAGCTATTTCGGGACAATAATCAAGTCTTTTGATGATATTTGATACAGATGAAAAAGTTGATGAGTAATAAGTATAAAAGTAATAATGAGATTAAGCCTGATAACCTGAATTATCTAAGAAAAGGATGGCCGTACTTCAGTCGCATGTGTTCTAGTTGTGTTTCACATATATTTTTTTGCCGCAAGCCAATTCAAATTTAACAAAATTCTTACTTGAAAAATGGTTATTAATTTCAACAACTTTACTGTTAGATTAATATAACGACACGCAGCTCCACTTTAATCAGCTGTAAGTTTATTAATGATCCCCCAAACACAAAATATTTTCACTCCTTTCTGAGCATTCCTAATTTGTGTATCTCGTTCCAATTCGTACAATTCCAGTACATTAGCATGACATAAAGTTCAGCAGTCATATCTCCATGCTTGACTTATGAATGTAGCGACACAAGGTGATGGCTATAGAATGATTTAAATCTTCCACTTACCTTACTTTTAAATTCCTTTGCTATCAAGTCAGTAAAAATTTCGGAATTCTTCGATTTTTTTCTAAAAAAACAACTACACTTGTCACTTTTCAGCAAAATACCCCACGCTCTGTCATCGACAATTACAGTTTCTGATATTTTTAATTCGTTCTTTTTCATGATATCAGTAATCTTGTTTGTTCCTGAGAAATACGAGTCGAGCAGAATTCCTGAAAAGAAGCATGAACATTTAGAAGCTGTGATGAATGACAATAAAATCGGCTTTTGCACAGATAATCATGTCTGTCTAGGTAATGATGAATGAACAACAGAGAACAACAAGAGTTTTTACACTAACTAAAATATATAAGAAATAAGATAACGTGTGTCAGTGTAGGTAGTGATGAATGAACAACAGAGAACGAGAACAGTCTTTAAACTATGTAAAATATATGGAAATAAATATTAGAGCCCAACAAATAATTTTGAACATAGATATAAACAATTTGGTTTTGTGAAATTTATTAAAATAGTACACACTTACACAGCCACAGTAATCTGATACCTCAAAGTATGTAAATAACTTTATATATATCTATAATTCTTGTTAACTTCCTTATTAGTCTGAAGATGTCTTGAGTCAAGACGACACGTCACTATTTTAATAAATATCAAAAAAGCAAATTGTTTATGACCATGTTCAAAATTATTTGTTGGGCTCTAATATTTATATTGAGAATATAGAAATAAGATAACGTGATCAGTATAGGTAATGATGAATGAACAACAGAGAACAAGAACATTCTGTAAACGAACTAAAATATATAAGAAATAAGATAACATGTGTCAGTGTAGATAGTGATGAATGAACAATGAAGAACGAGAAGAGTCTTTAAATTAGAAGATAATCAATAAGCAAAAGAATGTAAAATATGCATTATTTATCTACAAAAATTACCTTCAACATCGTTGTTGTTTAAAGCCTGGAAAAGATCATCGGTCGAGTTATAATCTACCAAGAAAAATGAAAGTAAAAATCAAGTTTTGGCATCGATCCACGCAACAGATTATTCTCAAATCTATGCGTTAAAAAGTCAAAATGATAATTACTTGTAATTTTCGCTTGATTTTTGACTCCAGCAAAAGCTTCGTAGGAATTTTGCAAAGCTCCGACCTATAAGTATTGTAAACGACTAGTCATAAATATGAAAGGAACAGACTGATGACAAAGCAGGAACGAAAATTTTGTTCTTTTCAACACATTGCAAAATTTATTAAAGTTTAAAAAATAAAAACATGGATGCACCACACTTATCATAAGCTCATATTAAAATTAAATGTCGACAGTTTTGACCGTTTACGTTATAACTATAATCCATCAAATATACACCAGTGATAACGATGGTAAATAAGAATTCAAACAACTGTAAATAGAAGTGAAAACTTATCAAGGTACAACATGAAGGCCCGCTTGGGGCACATTGACGTTTTTTGATGTACACAAAGAGCATAAGGTACATAGAAATCTATCTAGATACATGGGGGGAAAACATATGAAAAACTTTTAAGAGTCACCTTAGCTCGAGAAAGTGTTTTCTTTTCCTCCAATGAGATAGCCGTTAATGACGTCGTTAAAGTGGCATTAAATATGGAAAATATGCAAATACCAAGCATGATCCAGAACACGGCAAATCCTCTTCCTAACAGCGTCTTTGGAGCGCGATCACCATAACTGGCATCATTAATAAATATTTTGAATAAAAAAGTATTGAAGAGAATTGACAGCTATCGACAGCTGACACACAATAAAAGCTTACACCTACCCAACGGTAGTCATAGAAACAAAAGCCCACCAAAATCCTTCCCAAGTTCCTCTGACAAATGAACGTGGAAATTCATCTGGGTTAAACCAAAATTCCTTAAAAAAAGTAAAACGTAACTTTGTCGTTCGATTTTTCTTATTCATTACTGTACCTACCCTGACACACGTTATATTATTTCTTATTTTTTTTAGTTAGTATAAAGACTGTTCTCGTTCTCTGTTGTTCATTCATCACTAACGCTACTGACAAAGTTATCTTATTTCTTATATATTTTAGTTTGTGAAGACTGTTCTCGTTCTCTGTTGTTCATTCATCACTAACGCTACTGACAAAGTTATCTTATTTCTTATATATTTTAGTTTGTGAAGACTGTTCTCGTTCTCTGTTGTTCATTCATCACTACCTACAAAGACACATGTTATCTTATTTCTTATATATTTTAGTAAATGTAAAGGCTGTTCTTGTTCTCTGTTGGTCATTCATTACTACGCACACTGACAAAAATGAGAATTTCAACCTACCAGAATCCAAATGATGGCTCCAGAAATTAACGACAAAAGTAAAGCAAAGATCATAACAGGCCAAGCGTGCAAAACAGCTGCAATCAACTTCTTTGGTATTTCACTAGTACTTTCCTTCTTTGTAACGTAAACAACCGACGGCTTTTTTAAAAGACTCACAAAGTGTAAGTTCGTCCTTTCATCTTGAGTTTCGTCGACACCTGCATTGTACGGCAGCACAAGGTCAATATTGGACGAAATATTCATTGTGGTGATATCGACTCGAGATACATTTAGCGTGAAATTAAATTTCAAACGTTGGCCACCACGTTTTTTCATGATTCGGGAAAGAATTCCTGGCAAATATTAAGATATAAATACGAGTATTCGTAAATGGCTTTGCAAGCGCACTTTCAACCGTAAAGTCCTGTTTACGTGCACTATATGTAGAAAAAGTGTGGTAGAAATGAATAATTTTTGCGGGCTTTGCGACTTTGTCTTCTTCGAAATTTTTCAATGCATTCAAGTTTGGTATTTAAGCGAAGTGGAATTAAATTTTCATGTTGTGATGTCATGTGCAGTAATGAGGTGTAGCTCCGCCTCTTTTTCGGTGGTGTATTAAATCATTCTGGCCAATGGAAAAGATTAAATATTTCACAACAAGAAACTTATTTGAGCAATTTCTCTATGCTCTGACTTTGCAAATTCACAAAACCTTTAAAATAAAAACAAATGATTCAGCCTGATTTGAAAATTAGTTACTAAAATGCTAAAAAACTAAAATGACATATGACGCTTAAGAAAAGTTTTGAGACGCGTAAGTTTTGCGCTTGAAGTTCTTACTCCTTTCAATGACTCAAAATCATTTCATGCCTCGCTGAATCTCGGATACCGGGCTAATGTAATCAACCTCTTAAGGAAAAACTGAAATACCTGGAATAATTCCACTAATTGTACCATTTGACTGATTGTAGGCGTACGGTTTGAACTCTGTCCACATTACATTTATATAACTTGTGTTGAAGCAAGATGACAACATTGCACATTTGGAAAAGCTTCCTGAAAGACAATCTTTCCGAAGAGCAGTTCGAACCAATGGCAACTGGCAAAACACCATTAAAATACAAAAAATCACTAAAACTGTTCGTAGCTTCAAAAACATTGTGAACACGCAATATCAATCGAAGAACTAACAGCTGTACTGTACATACTGTTGCTGGCTGTCAGCAAATGTACATCTGTTTAAACTAATACAGTTTTTAACTAATTTGTGTTTTGCCATCTGTCCTTTCCAAGCCAATATAAATTTATGAAACATAAGCAAACGACTTTTTTTTCCAGGATTTGGGAATTTTTTGTGAAAACTTATGCACAAGTTGGATTAACAGTGAATTTATAACTAAATGAACCATTGGGCATGTATGTGAAGATGAGAGCAAAAGCCAAGAAAAGGTGTTAATTCTATAGTAAAATTACAAATGTATGCCTCCTGGCGTTATGAAGTCAATAAAACTTTATTAAATAACACAAACGAGTTTTTTCCGACATCAGCAGTTCTCCTGAACGTAGGAAATATTTTCTTTTTCCTGAAAGTTGGATTTACAGGATTCACAAATAAACAATTTTTGAAATTTTCGAAAAGGCTATTCGGCAAAAGAATGCAACACAGTGAATTTCAATCTCTCATTAACCAATATGTAATAAATATTTTATAATATGGCACGAGATGTTTAGTTTTAATCTTTCCGTTTGCTTTAGGAAATTTGTTTGCTTTAATTTTGTAATGAACCACCCTAAACATGTTTCTAAGCAAATCAAAGAGCGGTATTTCAACGGAAGTGACGTTAGCCATATAATAAAGTCAATATAGTAATTAAAGGTCACGTATAAATTTTTAACGGCATCGTCATCTCGACAGAAGATGAGAAAAGAAATGGAATAATTTATATTTTAAACAGATGTAGCTATAAAATAATTTTTGTAAAAGTGTTATGAACTTTCGCGGAAATCGTAGTGCGCATACGCAGATCATATCTCTCAGGTATTGAGCTATGGAAATGACCTTTAGCTCATCTTAAATTTTTTATCAAGCTCTTTCGAATGAGCTAAAGATCATCGCTTTAGGTGCAATACTTTGGGAGATAGGATCTGCGCATGCGCAAATCATACTGCGCACGTGCAGATCGAGTCCCCCAAAGTATTTAAGCTACGGCAAAGATATTTAGCTCATTCAAAAGAACTCAACGAGAGCTTATCAGAGAACATATCAGGGAACAAACCTTATAATTAAAGTTGTCATAACTCTAAGTGACGTCACTGGTACGATATATCTATTATTTAAGAAAGTCAACTGTCAATTTAAAGTTTCATGTCATAAACTTTTTTGTTTTTTTATGACTTAGATAGACATATGTGAAATTGAAATATTTACTGTTTCTTTCCTGACGGCATAACACTCAATTGTACATCTTCATTGTCCATTGGACTTGCAGTTCCAATTTCGAGCTGTCTCTGTGCTCGCCACTCGGAAAACAAAGACTGAATTTTCTTCATTATTTCTTGTTCCATGTTATCCAAATTGCTTGCATCAAGGCTTGAGTCTACGAAAGCACCTGAAAAGGTAAAAAGCGTTTCCTTTATAAATTACGTACTAAACTCAAAATGATCTCTCGAAAAATCAGCTTCTCTCGTTAAATCAGCTTATTCAAAACGTCATAAGTATTAATTATTTTATATTATAAAATAAAAACAATAAAACGTGGCAGTGATTAGTCTAGAGCCGCGTTTGCACATGCCTGGGCAAAACACATCTGAGCTCAACCAGTCAAATCAACGAAAACAATCAATCATTCAGAGAGAATTGGGAACTCAATCATGAATACATTTTAGAAGAAAAATTAACATGTTTGTCTTTTTCGCATTATTGTTATTCTATAAAAGAAATAAAAGACATTTTTCGTGTTTGCACTTGCTTATACAAACCTGGGAGAACTCTCGAGCATGTGCAACCTTCGACCTTTGGTCTAGGGCTTGCACTGATCTGCTCTTGAGTTCTCCCAAAGGTCTCCTCGGTTTGAATAAACCTGTGCAAACACAGTAATCATTATATATTTCTTAAATAACAAAGAGTAATAATAATAATATTGGTGACAGGGGAGTCTCCCGAGTGACTGTCCAGATTTTCTTTGCCTTAAATGATTAAATGATTCCAAGATCTGCAAGAAATTCGCCTTATCTAAGACTAAGGCTAACATAGATCACATCATCCAAACTTGGCTACTGGACTGTTCCTCTGCTTGCTGAGTGATGGTGATAGAGAAAAAATGCATGATCTATCAGTGCTTAGTCACTAGTCCCTGACCGTGCTCAACTAATGAAATTGTGAATGTGAGGCTATGGTGATTAGAAAGGAATAATAATAAATACTTAGTGTTGGCTACTTTGCAAAAGCCTACAAGTCTACCACTGTATGTAATTAGATCACAAAAATGAGCACTCAAAAGGTAAGGGCCGGTTGCACTAAGCATGGATAACAGTATTCATTGGATAGCAAAAATTTTCAAACTTGTAAAAAAGGTGTTTATATTTTTCTCACGACGAGGAAATTTTGTAATCTTCGAAACAATATTTTATTTTAGTGATAGTTCAGTTCGAATCTTATACTTTATGCTTTTTAAAAGGTTTTATAAAAGTTTAAAAAACTTGCTATCCAATGGATAACGCTATCCAGGCTTCGTGCAACCGGCCCCAGACATATAGTCTTTCATGACCAGATTTCCTGCATGGATAGCTGTGATATAAATCAATATAAAATAACCTTTTAAAAACACAGGCGCTGATTTATCGAATGCTAAAAAGAATTTCTCAGGTTGCGTGATTTATGCGAGAGATTTCAATGGCGAAAATACAAGAAACATACCATTAAAATCAACAAATTTATCTTTTAAATAACGTGTTTAAAAATCTATTATATAAACGAAATAGAAAACAAATTTCCTTGTTTCTATTGAGTTTAATAAACACTTGAAAAACTTCGGGAGAAACTCAAAATTGCTTGAAAACACTCTCACTTCGTGCTTGTGCTTGCCATTCAATTTTTCGTTTCTCTCAAACTTTCACGCGAGTTTATATACACAGCACAAGACAGGAGGCCTGACTGACTCACAAAAACTTCACTTCGCATGCATTAAGAAATTAAAATATGTAAAAACAAATTAGTACAACAAAGTCAAGAATTTCTCATTCTGTATTAACATAAAAACTTAGTTATAAGCGCTTCCAATTTTGTGCCATTAAAAAAAAGAAGGAGCCGAAACAAATTGAATCAAACGAAAAAGAATAATTTCACGAAGCATGCATGTGACAAAGGTATCAATTGGATATAATAATTTTCAATTTCTTTAAGTCTTTTTCTCAAGTCAATCACCATTTGATTTGAAATTTCAATGGAATAAAACAATGCTCAAAGCACTTATTATACAAAAATAAAATGAATTCAACATCAAAAAAATGTATACTTGTTTTGTTGCTTTCGAAAATTCTTTTCTTTATAAAAAATTCCCATACAACGCCGCCAAAGAGAATCACCACTAGAAAACCAATGCATACGTACAGAGATGGCCAAAATATATCACCAGTAGGGTCAAAAACGCTATCCGAGCGATCAGTCGCGTCTTGTTTATCAGACTAGAACAAAATTGAGGTGAAAACAACGTCTAAATTGGTTTTCCCCATTTTTACACAAAGTTAACAAACCCTTAAGTTTACCAATCATGAACAGCTTTGTTAATTTTTAACCCTTATTTTGTATACTGGAAAAAAAAACAAAATGTATCTTTATTTACCATGGATTTCTTTGAAATTCTCAACAGATAAAAACAAAGAAAGTTGAAATATGTATACCTATATTTCATAATCATAATTATACTTCAAAAAAGTAGATTTTCAATAAACTCTGTAGGACGTGATCGTTTCTTAATAGAAGCCCCGCCCCAGGGTCGGCACCATCGATTAACTCAATATCACAACATAAAATCTTACACTTCGTTACCTTAACTTTCACTTCATCTGCAATTATGTCCGTAACAAACTCAGAACTCGCCCACACAAGAATGTTTTTCCTTAGACAAAAACTAAGGTTATCATTTTTCACCAAAATACCCCACGCTCTGTCATCCACAACTACCGTTTCTGATATTTTGAACTTGTCCATTTTCATAATATCAGTAACTGCGTCGGTTGCTGAGAAATACGAGTCAAACAGAATGCCTAAAAGGTAACATGAAATTTTAGAAGCAGTGATGAATAACAATAAAATAAATAAAATATGAAATAAATCATGTCAGTGTAGTTAGTGATGAAAGAACAACAGACAACGACAACGAAAATCTTTACACTAACTGAAATATATAAGAAATAAGATAACGTGTGTCAGTGTTGGTAGTGATGAATGAACAACAGAGAACGAGAACAGTCTTTACACTAACTAAAATATATAAGAAATAAGATAAAGTGTGTTAGTGTAGGTAGTGATGAATGAACAACAGAGAACGAGAACAGTCTTTACACTAACTGAAATATATAAGAAATAAGATAACGTGTGTCAGTGTAGGTAGTGATAAATGAACAACAGAGAACGAGAACAGTCTTTACACTAACTGAAATATATAAGAAATAAGATAACGTGTGTCAGTGTAGGTAGTGATAAATGAACAACAGAGAACGAGAACAGTCTTTACACTAACTGAAATATATAAGAAATAAGATAACGTGTGTCAGTGTAGGTAGTGATAAATGAACAACAGAGAACGAGAACAGTCTTTACACTAACTGAAATATATAAGAAATAAGATAACGTGTGTCAGTGTAGGTAGTGATGAATGAACAACAGAGAACGAGAACAGTCTTTACACTAACTAAAATATATAAGAAATAAGATAGTGTAGGTAGTGATGAATGAGAGAACGAGAACAGTCTTTAACTAAGAAATATATAAGAAATTAACTAAGTGATGAACAACAGAGAACGAGAAATAAGAAATGTGTGTGTGTTGGTAGTGATGAATGAACAACAGAGAACGAGAACAGTCTTTACACTAACTAAAATATATAAGAAATAAGATAAAGTGTGTTAGTGTAGGTACTGATGAATGAACAACAGAGAACGAGAACAGTCTTTACACTAACTGAAATATATAAGAAATAAGATAACGTGTGTCAGTGTAGGTAGTGATGAATGAACAACAGAGAACGAGAACAGTCTTTACACTAACTAAAATATATAAGAAATAAGATAACGTGTGTCAGTGTAGGTAGTGATGAATGAACAACAGAGAACGAGAACAGTCTTTACACTAACTGAAATATATAAGAAATAAGATAACGTGTGTCAGTGTAGGTAGTGATAAATGAACAACAGAGAACGAGAACAGTCTTTACACTAACTGAAATATATAAGAAATAAGATAACCTGTGTCAGTGTTGGTAGTGATGAATGAACAACAGAGAACGAGAACAGTCTTTACACTAACTAAAATATATAAGAAATAAGATAAAGTGTGTTAGTGTAGGTACTGATGAATGAACAACAGAGAACGAGAACAGTCTTTACACTAACTGAAATATATAAGAAATAAGATAACGTGTGTCAGTGTAGGTAGTGATAAATGAACAACAGAGAACGAGAACAGTCTTTACACTAACTGAAATATATAAGAAATAAGATAACGTGTGTCAGTATTGGTAGTGATGAATGAACACTAGAAAACGAAAACAGTCTTTACAACAGCTAGGAAATGATAAAAAAAAAGCAAAAAAAGCAAAAATACTCATCGTTTATCCACAAAAAGTACCTTCAACAACATCGTTCCTTAAGGAAACAATTAGTTCATCGGTCGAGTTGTAACCTGCAAAATAGAATGCAAATAAAAAGCTCAAAAAATGGATAGCTTATATAAAGCAGAAGTTTCACAATTTATGTAATAAAAAAGTGAAAATGATAATTACTTATAACTTTTGCTTGTTTTTTGACTCCTGTATGAGCTTCGTACGAGTTTCGCAAAGCACCGACCTAGGTATATTGCAAACTGTATTGTTAAAAAGATAAAAATTATAAAAAGATGCCGAAACGTGAAAATTATGGTTTCTTTAGCCACAACGCAAAACTTATCCAAATTTATGAAATTGACAACATGAATGCAGGCTTTTTCCAATGCAAATGCTAATGTTACAAATTTACATACAGTAGAATCTAGTCCACATTACTCGATGTTGTTCAACTCAAACTCGTCGCTAGCACAAACTAAAATCAACTCCCCTGTATTAGATGGTAAAGTTTATGGCAATTTATTTCATTCAACTGTAACATGTGTAACTCTAATTTCTCGCTCATTTGAATAGTGTTGAACATTTGTAAACAGCAAAAAAATTTTGAGTGTCACCTTTGCTCGTGAAAGCGTCTTTTTCTCCTCCAATGAGATAGCCGTTAATGATGTCGTCAAGGTAGCAGTAAATATAGAACATATGCAAATACCAAGCATGATCCAGAACACAGCAAATCCTCTTCCTAACAGCGTTCTTGGAGCACGATCACCATAGCTGACATCATTAGTAACAATTTTTAAGGAACAAAAATCATGTACGAAAAGTGAAATTTTTTCAAAGAAAAAGAATGTTATAATAGACATGAAAGCTTAAACTGCCATAACAGTTGACACTCACCCTACGGTCGTCATAGAAACAAAAGCCCACCAAAATCCTTCCCAGGATCCTTGAACGAACGAACGTGGAAATTCGTCTGGGTTGACCCATAATTCCTTTAGAAAATGCACAAAGTAACAGAGATCATTCAGTGTTTTTTATTCATCACTACCTACACTGACACATGTTATCTTATTTCTTATATATTTTAGTTAGTGTAAACACTGTTCTTGTTCTCTGTTTTTCATTCATGACTACCTACACTGACACACGTTATCTTATTTCGTATATATTTTATTTAGTGAAAAGATTGTTCTCGTTCTCTGTTGTTCATTCATCACTACCTACACTGACACACGTTATCTTATTTCTTATATATTTTATTTAGTGAAAAGATTTTTCTCGTTCTCTGTTGTTCATTCATCACTACCTACACTGACACACGTTATCTTATTTCTTATATATTTTATTTAGTGAAAAGATTGTTCTTGTTCTCTGTTTGTCACTCATGACTACATACGCTGACACAAAATATATAAGTATTTAAACTCACCAAAATCCAAATGATGACACCAGAAATTATCGACAAAAGCAAAGCAAAGATTAAAACAGGCCAAGCGTTCCAAACAGCACCAATCATCTTTCTTGGTATAGGTCGATTACTCTCTCTCTTCGTAACGTAAACAACAGACGGCTTTTTTAGAAGACTCACGAAGTGTAAGTTTGTTGTCTCGTGTTGAGTATCGTCAATGTCTGCATTGTACGGCAGCACAAGATCAACATCATACGAAATATTGCTCGTGCTAATATCGACGCGAGATACATTTTGCGTGAAATTAAACTTCCAACATTGGCTACAACATTCTTTAAGAATTCGTGATAGGATTTCTACATAGCAAAAGATATAAAGTTTTTAACACATGTTGTCTCAAAAATGCACATCTTCTAATCAACCGCAACGTTTAAGATTTGCGCGATTCAGCTGTATAATTGATCCCCAAAGATCTGTAAACGCAATTGAAAACATCAACACATATGAATTCTTGGTATGCAAGCACGTCATAGCCGCCATGTTGGATGATTTTAACAAAGGATTTTCCTGATTTAAAATGTAAATGTCATTCATTATAGCAAACACTCCCTTGTTCTATCACTCCCAGTGGAATGGTTGCACACCAAAAATTGAAGCTGATGTTCATTACAAATTTAAAGCATGAATAAAATCATTTCAATTGCGTTCACGTCTTTTTGGGGATTAACTATTGCTGAATCATGCAGCCTTCAGATGATTTCACTCTGTATACTATATGATTGGAGCAGTATAGCTACAAATCTGTGATTACAGATTTAAAGAATAATGAACAGACAGCAGGGCCACTCTTTTGACTGTGGCATATGTTTAATACATGTAAGGGCTGATTACATGAGCCCAGTAGCCGGGATTCAGCCAACCATTAAATGATTTTGGCAATGGAAACGATTCGATACTTATCATTAGATAAATCTTCTCAAGCCTTTTCATAATATTCTTATTTAATAACTTCTCAAAACATTTATTTTGCAACAATCAACTTGACGTAATTTGAGAATTACAATCGGAGTGAGGTGTCGTGCTTCGCAAATAGTTGTAATTTTTAACCTTGAAGTTTTGGCTCTTTTCAATCCCTTGAAATCATCGGGCTAGCTCGCCTCCATAGAATCAGGCCATTTTCATTCAGTGCAAATTGTCGCGCGATCGACTTTTTACGATCATTTTCTTTTGAATTGTATGCAGCAGTGTGAAACTGTTGCAGTCGAGAGCTTACAATTGAAAAGAAAGAGCTTACATTCTCTATGCTCTGACTTTACAAACACAAAACCTTTAAAATGAAAACAAATGATTTACCCTGATTTGAAAATTACCACTAAAATGACTTATGACGCTTAAGAAAATGTTGCAAGTTTTGAGCTAACAGTCTTTACTCCGTTCAATGACTCGTTTCATTTCACGCCTCGCTGAATCCCGGTTACCGGGCTCACGTGAGCAGCCTCTAGTTTGGTAACTACCAGTCAATTCCATTTCTTCACCAATATGAACACGAAGTCTCTCACGAACGTCTCCGAGGTTTGCATAAGCAAGTACAAACACGAAAAACATCTTTTCTTTCTTTTATAAAATAATAATTGATCGATTTGATTGGTTTAGGTCAGATCCATTTTGCACAGGCCAATGCAAACACATCTATTGACCAATCAACGCACACGTTTTATCATTTTCATTTTATAAAGCACTACAAGCAAATAGCTGGACATTAAAGGATCTATTGAAATTTGCTGAATAAGTAACTTTTACAGTGAGCTGATAGAGTTTTTCAAAGCGGCAAAAATTTTTTTGCTACCTTAATGCTCTATATTTTGTTCAAAAATCTAGCACTTCTCTGTGAATTATTACGTGCGAAAATATGCCTTACATTTTATAAATAAAATAATACTTACTATTTGGGTGACGTTATAAATTTTTTTAAATGAGTTTAACTGAAATACCTGGAATAATTCCACCAATTTTATTATTTGATTTGCGATAGACGTACGGTTCAAACTCTGTCCACATTACGTTTAAATAAGTTGGGTGGACACAAGACGTTGAACATTTAGACAGACCTCCAGACAAAAAACCTTGCCGAGAAGATGTTTGCACCAACGTCGAATGATAAATAACCATTAAAACATGAAAAACTACAGTTTGTAATTTCAGAAACATGGTGATAGACGCTACATGCAATAATCTTTTAAGTAAAAACATACAGCACAAACAGTTTATAAGCTTTTGCGCTTAGTTATCATTGAATATACATCTGCCTCTTTTAAATTGAGGCATGAAAATAAATGTTTTGCCACCTGGCGTTTCCAAGTCAACCAAAAAATTATTATATAATAATTTATAAGACATTAAACTTTTTTTACCGACATTGAATTTTTCCATTTTGATGCAGACGGAGTCACAGAAGACCTACAACTTGAAACAAGAAGAGAAAAGAAATGATGAAAATGTTTTATAGTTCAAAGTGATTCACGAGACAGATGTATAACACGCTATTTGTTAATTTGTCATGACTTTAGTTATTTATGCATTTAAAAGCATTAATTAACGATAACATTATGCTAATATTAGAAATAATGATGGCAGAACAAGTGTCAATACCTTGTCAAGACACTCCATTAAAAATTGATAAAAAATTAACTACTCAACAATATAACGTGTGTTTGTTAATTATTGACTAGAAAAATATTAACGCGCTGAGTCAAATAATGATCTTAGAAAAAGTTCCTCAAACATAGTTGGGTCTTCATGTCCTCTTGGCAGTGCAAGTGACATGGCACAAGTGGAAGTATATGGATACCGAGTTTGCCCATCTTCTTGATCGTAAAATGTTATTGTTAAGGAATTTTCAAATCCAGTTGGTGGGGTGGACTCTGAACCAGTCGTAAACTGTAACAAATGCTCAAAATGAACAATTATTGATTTTACTTCAGTCTGGTAGAACATCTCATTGTCTAAAAAATAACACAAATTTTGGTGCAAAATTTCTTCATCAGAAGGTACAGAAATAACGATCGCTGCAACTGGACAACTGATGATAATTTAATGACGATTTAAAAACAATTGACATAAATAAAATGCACACCTTCAATTTTGTTCAAAAAGATTTCCCAGCAATATATTGCTTCATCTTCTTTTATTCTGTTATTACTACCTTTTAGACTCCACTCAATTTCGTATATGGCTTTGAATGATTCTCTAGAAAATTTCTTTGGAAGCTCAGTGAACAAAGGTTTGAATTCATGAGAATGTGTCTTGATTGTGTCCAAAAGACCTCCGACATCATTTATTCCCATTTTAAATTGCTCAATTTCATAAAACGCTCTACATAATATAACATAAAAGATAAAAGTAAATAATAAAACATGCATTTTTGACATTTAATACCTATAACCTGTAAAATATATGCTGCTTAACAAGTGACTTCATAATGATATCCCTTTGCTCAAAACTAGCCAAGTATGTTGAAGGATATCCTTGGCTGGCTATACTGTCAGCATTTTCTTTGAAAAATGAAATGAACTCTTCTTGTGTTTCCAATTACTTCAGCTTAAGAATGTTTTAATGATTATCAGTTCTAGAAGTACTAAAGTGCATTGCTACTTGAAATGCAGGAATTTTAAGAGACAATATAAGACAACTTAACCTTTGAGAACATAGTTGCTTTTTCATAATCTGCTATGAGTAAACATCAAAGTCATTTACATCACATGGTGCTTCACACATTAGAATTAAGACATCCAAAGCCGGGGCCACCTTGCATCCTAAATAATTGATCAACTTACAATCAACTTACATGTTTTGACTTGCCTCCAAAGAAACATGAAGCGCATATTGCATGTCTTCCTCTTCTTTGTCATTCACTATTTGCACACATTTGCCATACGGTCTACTCCTGCAAAAATAACGCTGAAAATTACCCCTAAAATTTTACTATAATTTAGATGAAAACATAGCAAAAGCATCATTACATCACACTATGACTTCTCTCACTAAAAACATGACTTCGACTCAATAGCAACTACTCGAAAACAAAATTATAGAAACTGCTATAATAAATTACCCAGATGCTATGAAATGTGATTAAGCCAAATATGTTGGTGAAGTTGAGCATTTTGAATAAATTTGCTCTTGTTCCCCATCATTATCTTCTTTGTCACAGTCTATGACTTCAATAGGCAGAGGCATAGATTGCTTCACATCTGACTTTATCTCATTTTTCATTTCAAATGTTGGTGACATTAAGAAATCATCATCACTTGAGTCTTCACTTTTGTCAGCTATCCATCCTTTTAAGCCAGCACCTGGTACTGCCACCAGTGTTCTAACATAAACTGGTCCCTGTTTGGAAATATGCTTCAAAAGTTTTCCCATTATTTACTTTAACTATTTGATTGCCAAAAGCTTGAACAAACTCAAAATTATTTTCATGAGTAGTTAACCTAGCAAGTTTCTCTATAAAAATGCACAATATTTTGCTCTTGACGTCATCCTCAGACATTTCATCACCGACTGCTACGGCTGACTCAGCAAAACCATTTGCATAAAGGTACTCTTTAAAAACGACCTCGGGGCACAGTCTCCACCTTGGGACCTGGTAGTAAAATAAAGTCCTTGAGCAGGTACTTCAACTTTTTACTTCAGTTGGTTTTCTTTTTGTATGACTACATGATGAAGATGAAGAAAAGCCATATCGTTTAAAGTCTTTCTTTGGTACACGTAGTTAGCTTTTGGATTATATCCATAAGTTAATTCATTTCGACGACTAGATGAAGCAGCACTTATGCTTGGAAATAAATTACCAAGAGCTTCCTCTGTTGATATTTTTGAATCTTCTTTCTTCATATTTTGTTCAACAGAAGGGGTTTCTTTTATAGCTTTAACCGCCTTCATTAGTTTGTCTATCATTTTGTCCGCCATCTTACAACTTACATCGAAATTCGACAACATGAAGTTTTACTGGAAATTACATGTGGCGTACTGCAGGCAGCAATATAGTATTAAACTTTTCAGAAAGTGCTATAATTTTATATTAAACACAGTAATAAATTTGAAATAGAAGTTTCATCTTTAGAAAAAGTATTTTTGTCTGTATCGGCGCGCCATAAAAACGTCTCGGTAAGCGAGATGAACGTCATCATAGATGAACATCTCGCTTACCATTTCCGCTAAGCGGGCAAACCCGGCTCCATTTAAACAGCCCCTTCGCCTAATGAGTAATACGCCACTGATTCTGTTTGATTTAGTACACGTACATAACTATCTTATTTTTCCCTGTGTTTTGCCTGTACTCCGTGTTTTACCCTCATTTCTGCGTTTAATCTTTCTTTCTGCGTTTTACCAACTCATTATATTCCGCGTTATACCCCTTTCATTTCGTTTTTCGGCTTCCCCCATTTCGTTTCCACGTTTTCTCTTACCCTCGATACAAGAATCAGTTCCGCATGAGCAAATCTGTAAGCAGTAACACTGATGATATTTACGTAAATGGAATAAAATAATAAAAGATAAATTAGTCACTGCATACTAGTGTAATGCTAAACCATTAAAAGAAAAATGAATACAACAGAAAGATCACCAACCGCTGAACGGATTGGACGTTTTAAACACAACCGATCTTTGTACATTTCCGCCGAAAGTAAACTCAAAGGATCACAGTTTAAGCCAAGGGAATCAGACATATTCATTGTCACTTTTCCTAAATGTGGCACAACGTGGATGCAACAAATCGTGCATCAGCTGAAAACAGGAGGAGATATGAGTTTCGATGAAATTACGGATGTTGTGCCGTGGATTGAATTGGCTTATGATGTACAATGTGACCTTGATCGTGAACAGAAATTTCCCCGGTAGGTGAAAAACCCCGACGCGTTGCATGAGCGGCAAAGCAGCTCTTCTACGATTAGCCTAACTTAGCCATTCTTACAACTTTATTAAACACTGCGTTAATATTAGTTACGATAAACACTCATTGGATCACTGTATGTTTGGAGAGCTCTTCTTAACCATTAACTACTTGATTTAGTGTCTTAGTTTTGAGAATAATACAAGCACGTCGACTACGATTACTATCAATTTGTACACAGATAATTCTTAATAGCCCCATAAAGTAAAGCAAGCAGTAGCTGCGGCGAAGTAAGTTTTATAAATTAAATTTGTTATTGCACTTCCGTCAACCTGACAAGAAGCCAAACAAAGCTCAGTGTATGGCATTGCCCATGCGCCGCAACTATATGAAAACTGCATATTTAAATCACGGGAAATTATGGATTTAAATTCAGCGTATTGTAATCAATAAAGACTCCTAAGAGCGCCTAAAATGCCGAATAACCGTTATTCATTAAGGAATCACACTATTAGTTCGTTGAGTACATCTGACAACTAGCGATTTCCATGTTATTTAATCCTTATTTTAGATGCTATAAGACCCATTTGCAATACAGTGACTGTTCTAAAGGGTCCAAGTACATCGTGATTTACCGAGAGCCGCGTTGTGCTTTGTACAGCTTGTACAGCTACTTTCAAGGATGGCTGATTAAAACTCCTGATGAGATCACCATTGAGGAATTTGTATACGATTATGCTTTCCAGCCTAATATAGTTCATAATTACTTCGAGCATTTCATGACTTGGTGGATGCATCGAAATGATGAAAACGTCCTGTTTCTGTTTTATGAAGAAATGAAGGAGAATTTGGAGAAAACAGTTCGTGCAGTGGCTAAGTTCATGGGGACGAATGACGAAAAGAAGATCAAAACAGCAGTTAAATTGAGCACATTTGAGTTTATGAAGGAAAATTCCACAAAGTTCAATGAAAACATTGCACGCTATCATCGCAACCTGTCTGCATGCACATTTCTCGACGGTTTGAAAACATCGGATAAGGTCGTAACCGGTTCAACTACGAAGGCTCTACGAATCCTTCCGAGTCAACTGCAAGATGATATTTGCAAAAAATGGAAAGAGACTGTTGGAAACATTTCAGGCTATGATAACTACAACGATCTCAGGATTGACTTCAGGAGGCTTAAACCTTTGACACAATCTTTTGAAAAGTTGACGGCATAAAGGGATATAACCTTCTTAAGTTTTCTAATTCTTAAATCGCTCATCGAACTAAAACAATATCCAATTTGAAATATTTATATTAGACATCTAACAGCGCAGTTTGGATTATGTTAGGCCCACACAATGGCGCAACTATTGCAGGTGTGTGTGAGTGGGGGCAGTCGCCATACCACAGGACATTTGGATATGTTTCTGTGGGATATGTATGGTTTGTTGTCGGAAAATTATATTTCACTATGTGTAGCTAGCACATTAGAAATACTGAATAGACGTTATGCTATAGATCTGATTTTGATAATCAGACATGGTCTGAGACGTGTGGCATCTTTTCATTTGTGCATTTTACCTTATTGGTAAAGAAGTTTTTGAAAAACGCGTTTTGAGATTCAAAAAGTTATTATAGAGACATTTCCAAACAGTGATAACTATTTAGTTTAGCTAAGCGTGTTGGCAAACTACAATATAGTTATGGCATCCCATCTGGAAAGCACGTACAAAACAAACAGACCCATACCCAAAAATTAAAAAAGAGGTCATTGATTTAATTGCTACTGCTGTCAGGAAAAATATATTTGTCGCTAAGTATGGCTGTATTATAATTTACACAACCCCAACTCTAATTTCTTCCCTATTCTTGTTCTGATAACCAGGTACTTATTAAGGAAGCTATTGAACAACTGCGAGGTCCGCTCCTAAACATAACATTGTACTTTCACCTGATAAATTTTAAATTTATAAGGTGGGTTAATTTTATAAAATGAATCATCACGGCCTAGTGAGGCAAATTCATTGGCAAAATTACATTCATTAGAAATTAAAAACCAATAGCTTTTTCTGAATGTAATTTCAATTTAAAACTGATGAGGCTATAATTTATTTTGAAGTACAATGGATCCGACACTGACCATGAGATCTACAAGACTGCAATGAGTAATATGTATTGCTGTAGAATGATCACTTTTATCAACGATCGTTTCGTCGATAATTAACAGAGACGGTTGCACAAAGCTTGGATTGCGTTATCCATTAGATCGTAAAATTTTCAAACTTTTAAAAGGTGTTAATATTTTCGTTACGAATAAACTTTGCAACTCTTAGAAGCAATCTTTTATTTCAGTGTTTGCTCAGTTCAAATCTTATATTTTACTTTTTAAGAAGTTTTTAAACCGTTAAATGGATAACGCTATCCAGGCTTTGTGCAATCTGCCCATGGTTTTAAATTACAAGAGGGGTAAATCAAAAAGCTGATCTTGAACTTCAAAACTGTATTGATCTTTATCACGAGCAAAAAATTGATTGTATTTGTTAACTTCTTAGTACACGAATTTTACATTACTGCACAAACTTTGGAGTACGCCGCCATTTTGTTTTTTAACTTTGAAATAGTCGTTATATTTTGTCTGCTAATTAGTTATCCGTTGACAGCATTTTCCTGAAATACGATATAAAAAAATTCACACATTTATTGCAAGTCTGTGACAGCATTAAATAATATTGTTTGATTTACTAACTCACCTGTTCCTCAGAATCATTACTTGTTTCGTTCGTTCTTTCCGTGTATTTCATGTAGTTATGTGAAATCGCTAGATACATCAGTAATATGACAAGCACAAGTAACGAAAATAAGGTAAAGCACAACAAAGTTGCTTTTGTTCCTAAAGTTGAGAAAAGAACACCAAATACATCCCAGTTTCTTTTCCTACGCCTGCACACATCATTGAGACCATGCCTAAAATGAATTTAAGTTTTCAAAGTCGGTATTTTAGGTATATAAATGAACGAGTGCCAGAAAAGGTTGCCTAGTTTAAAACCCACGACGTTTGCCTTGATCGATTGACCATGTTAGGAAATAAAATTAAAACAGCCAGCATACATTGCTCTAATTCCGACATCCTTTAACTCTTTGATGACATAACAATAGCGAACCATGCAGCGAGAATAAAAACTGAATGCATACGAAGTTGCAAACGGGTAGCCTGCTTGCAGCCTCATTTTTCTGACTTCATAAAGATAGAGTCAACTAATAAAATGCCGGATCAGTCGAGCCCCGGGTTAATAACGGTCGTTGCCGGTGACTTCAAGTGGTGCTGGTGGACATGAGACTTGAAAAATGAGAGAACAAGGCAGGGAGGAAAGCAGCAGAGAAAGAGGGAAGAAGGAGTAAATCGGGTGAGAAAAGTAAGAAAAGCAAATCTTAGGGTAGGAAGGCTTAGGCCCGTTTTAAACGGCGAACTTCTCATGCGCCGAACTTAGTAATAATGGGTGCGACGTAGGAGAGACACAAGAGCGATAGTGATTCAAAGGGCTAACCTAATAGAATATCATTAACGACGAAGAGATTGGGTCGAGCGCGCGTTAGAATATTTCGTTTTTCTTAAGCAAATACTACAGTCTTTTTTCACCAGTCATATTTTGTTTGCGCATGCCCATAACATACATTAAAATAATAAAGTTTAGGAGTACTTAGGTTTGGCACATATCGCATGAATCAACGTCGAACTAACGTCGAATAATGCGACCGGCTCTGCTGTACTTAAATCATCTGTCGCTCAAAATTAATTCTGCCGTACTTAACTGATTCATACGACGCACTTCTGCCGTACCTTATTTAACAATTAAGTTCGGCGCATGAGAAGTTCGCCGTTTGAAACGGGCTTTAATGTAGGCACTATGACTGGAAAAGAGCTGGCAGATATGATGAACGACAGATTAATATTCTCTGTGTGCAGAATACAAGATGCAAGGGACTAAAGGCAAGAAACATAAGAGGAGGGCACGAAATGCGGTTTTATGGTATTGAAAAAAAGGTGTAGCAGTGGTGCATGAGTGGCTTTAAGAGAGCATGTGTGGTGAATTATACGGATTATATTTGCTGGCTCGAGTCTAGGCCATGAATATAAAAATAATCTATGATGGTTACGTTAGGCTTCGGGTGAGGCTTTAACAGTTAAAGTTTTACACTGCCAGGTATTTTGTATTTTAAAATTCCTACTCGGCTTCCGGGCATTTATTAAACACAGCGCAATACGTGAGTTAGTGTTATTTCACAAACTGGAAAAACAAAATGCAATGCTTACATTACTATATGCTGATGTGAACTACAGCCTAATTCACTAGGCATAAACTAATCTTTGTTCAACCCAGGTTCAAATTAACTCATGGAGGTATTAAAATACAGTCAATGTGAATATATTAACTAAATTACTGCACGAATTTGTATGGCGTTAAATGTTGAAGATGTTAAATATTTGTATTTTTCCTTCTAACATTAAACAAGAGGTCCGTAGTTTCGATCTTTACAGGTAATTGCCATTATACTCACCGTGGGTATTTTTGTTCGCGATCAAGTTCAAGTTGAAGATGAACATCATAAGCCAATTCAATCCACGGCACGACATCTTTGATTTCATTGAAACTCATATCTCCTCCTGTTTTCAGCTGATGTCCAATTTGCTGCATCCAGGTTGAGCCAGATTTTGGAAAAGTAACAATGAATACATCTGATTCCCTTGGCTTAAACTGTGATCCTTTGAGTCTGCTTTCGGTAGACGTGTATTAAGATCGGTTGTGTTTAAGACGTTTAATTCCTTCATCAAAAAACTTTGACGATCTGCCGCTTGCATTCATTTTCCTTTAAGCGTTTATAATCATGCACTATTGGAGATTTATAGTGACGATGACGAATCATCATCTTCAATTTTATGTAAATATCCAGTTACAGAGATTACTTCATGCGGATCAAATGAAGGTGAGAAAACAGTCTTATTAGCTTGAGTGCCAAAGAAAGGAGATAATAAGAAAAGTGAGGAATTTTCAAAATTGGGTCTAGCAGATGGCTTATGTTGTTTTCTGAAAGCGTAATTTTTCCTTGTAGGTCAATGTTAAGGAACATTCGCCAAGTAGTGATATTGGCTGCAAGAAGTGAAATCTAGTCGTGAACTTTATACCCTAGACAACATGTCTGTAGCCCAAGGTATTATGATCATGATCAATAATAGATCTAAAAGATTAACAAATATTGAAGAAAAATTTTAAGATTTTAACCGTTGGTATTGAAAACGTTTTTTCAAAAGAGCTTTTCCCTGGAAGTTTGATGAATCTTTTTGGTTCACTGTTCCTAACCTGCCTTCAAGATTTGTCATGCTCTGTATAATTATCTCAATAACTTAGTGTTCACTCATTGTGAGATAATGATCTTGTATTCACCGCCACTAACAAAAATGCAGGATGCTTAGTTACGCATGCAGGTTTATCATGCATGTCTGTCAATATAATTTCACTGTCAGAACAAATAACGCACTCCTTTATTTCCATACAACATTGGCACAATCTTGGGTTGAGCAATTTCATCACTTTGGGAAAAAATACATCTTTTGTGCAATAATTTGCGAGTTATTAGCTATCAGCAATTGGTTTGTTTACATGTAAACCTTCGTGGCGACGTCTACATAGGGATGAATGCGCCCCATGATTTTACTTTCTTAGCTTATTTCATACGGCCCAGTAATATAATTCGACTGCAATTCGTCTCTTTGTTAACAGAAGATTTCTGTCTGTGAACTTGAGAAGAATTAAGAACATCCTCAGACAATTTTTCCTGGTAAATGTAGTCGTTTCACTATGTGTTTATACTGAAGTTTAATGCACCGGTTCCTATTGTGACGTTTTACTTAGTTACCAGTTCCCACTTTCACGGACTTCAAAATTTTTACCGTTAAAATTTGAAATTTTTGAATTTCATTGCCTTTTTACTCTCTGAAAACAGGTTCAATATAAAATTGGTTATTGATTTCGCAATCTTCGTTTTAAGCAATTCCAATGATATCAAGTCCTTTTTCTGACATAGGCACGTTAAGGGCTTCTTAAACTGTTTTCGGGATTTGCGATTTTCAGTTCTGCAACATATTGCAGTTTTGTTATAAATTTACCCTTAGCGGCGAATCAAAGATTTCGTGCATGTTTGTTGATTTTCAGCTCTCAAAGAATCTTTGTTTCATTTGTAAAAAAAGACTCTTCGTCAGGCGCGTTAATAACAGTGTGATGGCCATTTTGTGGGTAGAGAAAATGGCGAATTTTGTTATTGTAGCCATGGAGTTTAGACAATCCATAGTGACGATATTGAATTCATTGTGCCGCAAGCTCAAAAAGGAAAGTGTGTAAACAAAACAAAAGTGAGCAGTGCGTTTTGTTTGACACAATTTCTTTAATTTCATGCTTCAAAATGGCCGTCGACAATCAATGTATGGTGGTCGACAATCATTCGTTAAAGCATAAACTAACGTAGAAAACTGTTCAAAATTTTCCTTTATTTTTATGCATGGCATCAATGACGTTTGCAGGCGTAGGAAAAGAAAATGGGACTGTTGTATTTGGTTGTCTTTTCTACACTTTAGGAACGAAAATAACTTTGTTGTACTTTCACTATACTTTCGTTACTTGGGCTTGTCATATTACTTATGTATTAAGCGATTTCACATGACTACATGAAATACATAGTAAGGAAGGACGCAGGAAGTGGCGATGAAGAGATTCGTATCGCTAAAATGGATAATGTGGTCAGAGGCTTACCCTTTAGCTAGAGAGCAGATGAGCAGATGGCACATGACGATTATGAGCCATTCAAGTTGTAGTTACAGATTATTTTTACTAAACCTGAATTACGTTAAAAGTAAATGGCAACTTATCTAGGTCAAAAACGATTACGCTATGCATCTGGTGCACCAGATTCGTAGACTAACTTCACACACATATATACATTTGAAGGATAATGAAACGAGTGTTTGGTTGGTGAAAGTAACGGTGGTAAAAAATTGTTATACCCCTCATTTGAATTTTAGAAAAGAGTATGAGATGCAGCATTAGAAATAAAAAAAGGCGCACATGTCATTAATGTAACTCTTAAGGATTTAGCAAAACTTTACTGCCGTACAGGGAAGCATTCTATTAGCTAAGAAAACTAGTTTCTGCGTTGTCAGCAAAATGGCGAAATCGTTTTGGCTTGAATATTAAAAAAAATTAATTCTAGATGAATCCAAATGTGCAAGGAAGAACAAGTGATACTGTGATGCTTGCCTAACCACATTACACCATATCATCAAACTTTTATGAGCCATATTACACCACATCACTGAACTTGTATGAACCATAATACACCACATAACTGAAGTTGTATGAACAATGGTAATACTGCCTCGACCTTGCAAAGCCCGAGGCAAAGCCGGTTCAAAGGCTAACCAGAAGTGCAAGTGTGTGTGCACCATGCTGTTCTGATTTGAATAGAACAAATTATTTCGCATTATAGTATTCCAGGTCTAAGAGATTCTCGCTTTTAGCTTTCTGATATTAGAGATTCCGTCTAGATTACATGTTTTCTATCGATTGCCTGAAAAAACATTTTTATGTTCCTGACACCTAAGGATTCGAGTTGCAGGAATTACGAAACAAGGGACAAATATTTATAGAAATAATTCGACTGTAGTTCACAATATTATGCTGTTCTGTTGGAGGATGTTTCATTTTATATTTTTTAAAACTGTGGATGAGTAATACATTTTAATCAACATAACTGATCACTGGCGTCAACTCAACGTTCAATGAGAGGAGCATATACATTTGCTGTTATGCCTGGCTGATTTCTTTCGCAAGTGACGTCGTTTTCAAAAGAAATTTGCCACGCTAGAAGAATATATATGATTATGGTTCCCTCAAATAACGTTCGATTAACGTCAATGTATCCATCAATGTATAACCATCTTAAATCAAATGTTCTTTTAGCTTAACGAACGAACAAAGAAGAAAAAGTTCAAATCAGTTCAATCGATTATTTTTCAATCGATTATCAAGGGATTATTTTTTCTGAAATCAATCCTGAGATCATCGTAGTTATCATATCCTGAAACCTTTCCAATCAATTCTTTCCATTTTTTGCAAATATCATCTTGCAGTTGACTCGGGAGGATTTCCAAAGCTTTTGTAGTTGATCCTGTTACGACTTTATCCGATGCTTTTATACCATTAAGTAATTTGAGTAAAGACGGGTTGCGATGATAGCGTACGATGTTTCCATTGAACTTTGCAGAATTTTCCTTCATGAACTCAAACGTGCTCATTTTGACTGCTGTTTTGATATTCTTTTCGTCATACGTTCCCATGAATTTGGCTACTGCACGAACTGTTTTCTCCAAATCTTCCTTCATTTCTTCATAAAACAGAAACAAGACGTTTTCATCATTTCGATGCTTCCACCAAGTCAAGAAATGCTCGAAGTAATTTGCCGTAGAATTAGCTGGAAAACATATTTCATAAATAAAATCCTCGACTGTAATGTCACCAGGAGGTTGAATCAGCCATCCTTGATAGAAGCTGTAAAAGCTGTATAAAGCACAACGTGGCTCTCGATAAATCACGATGTACCTGGAACCTTTAGGGCATTTATCGTATTGCATATGTGTTTTATAGGATCTAAAATGAGGATTAAAACAGCATAGCAGTCATTAGTTATTGAAAATACTCAATTGACTAGCTTCACTCTAGCAATAAAATTTGAGCAAGCGCAGATTCAACTTATTCATCCTGGTGGAATATTTTTTGCAGTTGTCCAATCGACGAAGACTTTCGCTTTGACTGCAATGCGTCAAACCAACTGATCAGAAAATAGACTGGCTAACGCATTTTGCTATTTCGGTGAAACCAGAATTTTAATGAGCAGGCATATTGCATGCGCTATGTAGTTTTTTATACATATCTACAGTAAAACCTATTGTTTTATGATCAGAATAGGTACATAATGTATGAAGCATTAAGAAAGAAAAAACCACGGAGTTGAAAACACAAGTTCTAACTTTAATTAGTAGGATCATCAAAGTATTTGATTGCAAATGATTTAATTTCTTTGGCTACTCTAATTTTCATCTAATTTTCAATAGATAGCGAGTAGCAATTAAAGCAATGTATAGCAAATAGCAAAGCAATGGATAGCGAGTAGAAAACTAATGGATAGCGAGTAGCAAAGCAAAAGATAGCGAGTAGCAACGCAATGTAGCGAGTAGCAAAGCAATGGATAGCGAGTAGCAAAGTAATGGATAGCGAGTAGCAAAGTAATGGATAGCAAAGCTGGATAGCGAGTAGCAAATAATGGATAGCGAGTAGCAAAGCAATGTATAGCGAGTAGCAAAGAATGGATAGCAGTAGAGCATTATAAAATGGATATGAGTAGCAAAGTAAAAGATATGAATGGAATAAAAAATAATATAGCAAAGCAATGATAGCGAAAGAACGGATAAAAAGATAGAGTAGCAAAGCAATGGATAAAGCAATAAATAGCAAGAATAGCGGAAATGTAAGATAGCAGCAAAAATGGATAAGCAATGATAGCAAAGCAATGGATAGCAAAGTAAGATAGCGATAGAATGGATAGAGCAAGATAGAGCAAGCAATGGATAGCGAGTAGCAGATAAGCAACAATAATTAGAGATCGAGTAACGCAAATAGCGATATGTAATGGATAAGCAGCAATGGATAGCGAGATGTAGAAATGGCAATGAAAAGCAGCAATGGATAGGAGTAGCAAAAATGATGAGCAGCAAAGCAACGGATAGCGAGCAGCTACTGGATAGCGAGTACAAAGTAACTATGGATAGTATGGATAGATAGCAAAGCAATGTAATAGCAAAGCAATGGATAAAGCAAAGCAGATATGAGCGAGCAGCAAAGCAAAGATGATAGCAACGCAGCTAAGCAAAGTAATGGATAGCGAGTAGCAAAGCAATGGATAACAATGGATAAGCAGAAAGTTATGGATAGCGAGTAGCAAACCAATGGATAGCGAGTAGCAACGCAATGTATAGCGAGTAGCAAAGTAATGGATAGCAATGGATAGAATGGATAGCGAGTAGCAAATAATGGATAGCGTAGCAAAGCAATGGATAGCGAGTAGCAAAGCAATGGATAGCGAGTAGCAAAGCAATGGATAGCGAGTAGCAAAGCAATAAATAGCGAGTAGTGAGAACACATGGCTGCTGAATTTGCCGTCTCGCGTTTTATTTATCGGTTTCTGATGATGAACTTGCTTGTTTACTTAAAAACGCAATTCCAGATAATATTATAGTTGCCACTAATAAAACTTTAACATATTTAATGGTAAAATAAACAAAAATGAATTAAGCATAATTAAACTTGCATTGAGCAATAGTCGTTCGCTTTTCAATATGAACATACGTCAACAATAACAAATGCATATAAAAACAGGAAAACTATAACGACCCTTTTCTTTATACGAATACCAGTATGATCCTAGTAAAACAATTCGATTATTTGCTCTTGAATTTCATGATGGGATAGTCAATTCGGCCATTGCCCTCATTAACTATCACCTTATAGATAAATGAAGCTCGTAGCCTCGTAGTTAAATATTTGTGTTAAGATTTTGTAAGAAGCGGTTGTAAGAATCACAGTTGGAAAGCATTACTATGCGAACAGCACCGATCGGACTGAACCCGCATGAATTTTTCCTCTAACGTTCAGACAGGGTTTGAAATGAACACAACGCATTCGCACAAAGGCAATGTACAAAAACTAAGCGGCCGGCGAGGGCGTTACGCTAATGAGAATTGTTTGGTTCTATTTTTGCACTTTGCTTTTGTGTGCATACGTAGTTTCCATTTCAAACCGGTCTGAACATTAATCTGAGTTTACATTCATGCCGATTTAAACTAATTCCTCTCTGAACTCAATCGTATGACGCCGATCGGTTCAGCAGCAGACAGCTCAATGTTATTTTCGTAACAGTTTGATGTAAACATCTATTGTAAATAATACTAGAACCTGTATTAAGCAGCATCGTATTAAGCGGTCACCCAGTGTTAAGAGGTCATATGGCAAAGTCCGGAAAATTTCATAGTATAAATACTTAACTTAATACCCAAACTTAATTTTTCATTGTTTTCAAACTGTATTAAGCGGTCAGGTCAAGAAAATACACCCAATAATAAAATATGTAATTAAATATTTATTCAGGAACATGTCTCCTATCTAATTACATGTCAAAACGTAAAACGTAAACGATTTTACAAATCTCCAAGAAAGGGATATACGCATGGAATTTAAAAGTTATAACCACCTTCTCTGTTGACACGCTTGCCATTGATTATTTTTCAGGAGTTTGAGCCGTGGCATCTTTATGTATACTATTTTTAATTTCTAGTTCAAACTATGACAAAAACCGCTTTATATAGTATGGTTGTTTGGCATATATGTTAAGGAACAATACCGATTGTTTCAACTTTAGTTGTATGAAATATTACACGTAGCCCGTCTGGTGATTTTCCTAAAGACCTGTATTAAGTGGTCAACCTGTATTAAACGGTCACAATACAAGTTCTACTGTATAACTGACAAGAGTAGGCATCGATTTGACTTCATTCTCAAAGAACATATATAAACGCAACATGTGTGTGTTATTTTACTAACCGGGGGTATTTCTGTTCACGATCAAGGTCAAATTGTAAATCATAGGCCAATTCAATACACGGCACCACATCTGTAATTTCATCGAAACTCATATCTCCTCCTGTTTTCAGCTGATGCACAATTTGTTGCATCCACGTGGTGCCACATTTTGGATAAGTAACAATGAATACATCTGATGCCTTAGGCTTAAACTGTGATCCTTTGAGTCTGCTCTCGGCTGAAATGTATAAAATTCGGTTGCGTTTAACACGTTCAATACCTTCAGCGGGAAATTTTAACGATATTTCTTTTGCATCCATTTTCTTTCCAACGTTTATATAATGAATTAACGTTTCCACTTTTATGCAAATATCTTGTTACAGTTTGTTCATGCGGATCAACTGAAAATGGGAAGAAACTGATTTTGGCTTAATTGCCGAAGAAACGATACTTCTAAAAACGTCTGGAATTGTTAAAATTGGGCCTAGCAGATGGCATAGCTTGTTTTCTGAAAGCGCAATTTCTTCTTGAAGATCAATCAGTCAATGCGAAGCATTATCCGCCTTGCCCAAGTAGCGAAATGGGCAGAAAAAAGTAAAAGTTTGTCATGAACTTTGTACCTACAAGTGGCTAAGCGGCTATCTCAAATTCAGTGCTTCCACTATAAGATTTAGTTTATCGAAAATAGACATGTTTCGACATCTCATGATGCCATCTTCAGTATCAGTGAAATAATAAATGATACAAGGTTTATATAAAAGTAATATGATACATAAATTACAACAATAAAAAGGAAATAAGATAAATTAATGGAAAGCGTCCGAGCGTATTATAAACTAAATATTGTATTGAATTTAAATACTTGAGCATTGAGGTCAGAGTTAGTTTTGTTAATGTGGAGTGCTTCTTTGATTTTAAGGGCGAATGAGGTGTTGGTAGTGTCGATGATTTTGAAGCAAGAGGTGAATAGTTGGTTTTACATGAGTGAGATTTAAGGTGTCGGTAGATATGAGAGTTTTTGTCTGTTGTGGTATGTTCCCTGATTCTGGGTGATAAATGGAGCGAAGTTTCACATTTGTATCGGGAATTACATCCCGCGCAATTGAATTCATGTACCACCATAGATTTAATTGAATCAGGGATTGGGTCTTTGAATGAGAAAAGGTTTTTGATTTTGAATGATGAGAAAAGTAAACGAATGTCAATATCTGTGCAGAAGCGTTTCATAATGTTTGTAAGTCTGCGTTGTGTGTGTCGTGAGTAATGTCCGATGTATGGTAGTTTGAAGTATAGAGTTGTTATTTTGGAATTTTCATTTGTGTTGGTTGTGATCGTCGTGTCAGGAGTTTCGGTGTCTAGTTTGAGATTGTTGCTTTGTTTGTTGTCGAGATATCGTTTTACGGTTCTGTTAATAAAGTGTAGTGGGAAAGAGTTTCGTAAAAGAGTGGATGTGATGTTTTTCATGTCTCGTTGAAAGCCATTGTTCGTATTGTTAAGTTTGTATGCTCTGTCGATTAGTGTGCGTATAAGTCCGGTTTTGTATGAAAGTGGTGTGAAACTAAAATAGTTCGTCAGGCAAACGGCACATGACGATTATGAGCCAAAGAAGTTTTAGTCACAGATTATTAATTAAATGTGAATTACGCTATAAGTATATAGTAATTTACCTACGTCAAAACGAGTGTGTAATGCATCTGTTATGCACCACCTTCGTAGACTAACTTCACACACATGCATAAGAGAAGTTGGATTTAAAACTTCTTCCGGCTTTTAGTCAGAGTTGAAAGACTGTTCAATCTTCCTCCGGCTAGGATTTCGCGTTATCTTCATCATCACGTTTCTCCCCTTAGCTTTGTGAATCAAGCGGTATGTGTAGCTACATGCACATCCTTACTGGGACTCTGCTTTTAGTATTCCTGGTTATAGAGATTCCTGGTTTTAGAGATATCGGTTTTTAAAGATTTTGGCTTTTAGAGATTCCGGCTTTTAGAGATTGCAGCTTTTATAATTCTTAGTTTGAAGATTCGGATTATTTATTGAAAATCGGTCATTTGTTGATTGTGTTTCTCCATCGGCACGATCAGTTTTGTTAGCAAACAATAAAAAAGTGGAAACACCGTTGTTACATTTTCCACGCTTTATGAACGTGTTTTTTTAGCTTTCGAGTTCATTAGACTTCGTGCGTTTTCAAAACCATATTTTCATGAGGTTTTGATCAGTTCTGTTAGCACATTAATTGTTCACTATTCTCGCAAATGTGCTAACTGCGACAAAAATTGAGGTTTCTGAGATTTTTTACCGGAGTACTTTGCACGGCGAAGTTGTGAAAATTACATGACATGTTGTCAAATGACTCTGAAGATGACTACCGCTAAGGTTGTCGAAACGTCAGTCAACAACAACAAAAACAGTCCTTCTCGGGACTATACCAGCCTGGACGATCTACATTTACAAACATGTAACGATACTCCCGGGTTCAAACCATTTACAAAATTACATGAAGTACCCCACCGAGCTAGCGTTTGTAATAGTATAGTTTCTAGTGCAATTACGAATAAACATGCACGAGTGAGTATTTTAAAGACTGCAGCGAAATAGCGTGAGTCCGAAGGACGAGCATTATTTGCAGTCTTTCAAAAGTCACGAGCGCATGTTCAGCTGTGATTGCATGAGAAACTATAGTATTAATAGCTAATAAGTATACTTTGTAATATTTCTTGACTGCATCGCGTCTAACTTTGTCTTGCTTCGTTTCTATCGCTTCAGAAAAGCCTCGTTACGCGGCCTTACTGTTGAAAACATTAAACCAAAAAACATTACTTTTTTCTTTATCTGAACGTATATCTTCATCCCTTTTAAAATGAACAAGATGCCTCCTTAGGCGTATACTCGTGTTCTGGTGATCAAATAATTTCCGTTTTGACCATCCGATGAAAACATGAAAGAGTGCGAGAAAAATTTACTGAGGGAGAGTGATTTTACGGTTTCTTAATTCGAGCAATATTCTCATGTGTTTGGATCGGGCCACCGGCCATTTATTTGATCAAAAATTGTAATCAGTCAAAATATTGATATTTCTTACTTTCATATAGGAATTTAAAGTATATATCGCACCATGCATTATGTTGTGGCGTAGCTTTATCTTTTGTGCGCATATATTTTTCATCCTTCGTATTGTTTGTAAAAGGATGGCTTCAATGTTTGTATTTTTGAGGAATTATGTTTTGTCACTCCTTGTAGTCGCCATATTGTGAAAGCGCAATGTATTCTGGATCAACAAAGTCGATTTCTCGACACCGCGAGCCGAAACCTCTACTCGTGCCCCTCCAGAGCACGAGTAATAAACATATTACGAAAAATTTTAAGGCTAACATATATTTTCGAACATTGAACCTTTGCCATTCAGTCTCTTTTTTCAGATAATTAATTGCCTATAAATAAGATAGTTTGTTCTATTCAAAGGTTCTAGAACAATTTTAAAAGTTCATTTTTCCTACTGTCTCTTTGGTCGAGAGTGTGTCACGCGAGAGTAAAGAAATTAAGCGGTTTCCCTAGCGAGTAGCTCAAGAGTGAAATAATAAGTACTTTTTTTTCTATTTTATCTATATATTCTTTTGGGTAATTCGTTTATTCGAGTTGAGTTGTTGTCAGTTTTCTCTTTAAAAATTGGTATAAAACAAAACACTTATTGACTGCATTAACCTAAACAAACCACACTGTTTCCCTCGGTCTCAGTCAATAAGAGATAAATATCAAGTCCTATTTTTTTAATTGATTCCACATCTCGATACGATTATTCAAGCCAAACCAAAAACAGTTCATGAATGACCAGTTAAGTTATGGAGGAAATATTACATTGTTGAAACTAAACACGGGACTTTGTGTTTTGTAGGAAAACAGAATCAGTGAAATTTCCTGAGATGGAGATCGAACCTTCAAAAAATTTGTGAGGTTTGTGGAAGCAAAATTCAAATGTGCTAACAGAACAATACAACCATCTTACATCAAATATTCTAGTTGACTGAGCAAACAAAAAAGACAAAGTGTAAACCAGTTCAACCGATTATCAAGGGATTATTTCTTCTGAAGTCAATTCTGAGATCGTTGTAGTTATCATAGCCTGCAACGTTTCCAATCGTTTCTTTCCATTTTTTGCAAACATCATCTTGCAGTTGCTTCGGAAGAAATCGTAGAGCCTTCGTAGTTGATCCTGTTACGACTCTATCTGATGTTTTCATGCCGTCATAATATGAGCATGCAGACAAGTTGCGATGATTGCGTAAGAAGTTTCCATTGAACTTTGTGGCATTTTCCTTCATGAACTCAAATGTGCTCATGTTAACTGCTGTTTTGATATTCTTTTCGTCATACGTCCCCATGAACTTGGCCACAGCACGAACTGTTTTCTCCAAATCTTCCTTCATTTCTTCATAAAATAGAAACAGGACGTTTTCATCATTTCGATGCTCCCACCAAGTCATGAAATGCTCGAAGTAATTCGCCGTGGAGTTAGCTGGGAAACATATTTCGTGAATGAAATCCTCGATTGTGACGTTACCAGGAGGTTGAATCATCCATCCTTGTAAGAAGTTGTAATAGCTGTACAAAACACAACGTGGCTCTCGGTAAATCACGATGCACTTGGACCCCTTAGGACAGTCATTGTATTTAAAATGGGTCTTGTAGCATCTACAGTAAGGATCAAAAATAACACAGCATTGAATTATCATATCATTAGTTATTGAATGGACACAGTAGCGAAGCCAGCTCGCTTTTTACTCCTGCAATGCAAATATTTTTCTAACCAGTAGGAAAACAATGAATGGCATTAATTTCCTAAAGAAATGATAACTAACTTTGATGAGAAATTAGCGTTGTAGGAGTAAAAGATCAGAATGCCTTCGCCACTGAGTGTACACAATAGCTTCGCTCTATCACTCCAACGAAAAAATTCGAGCATGCGCAGATTCAACTTAATTATACAATTCTGTAGATGTAGATCGTCCAGGTTAGTAGAGTCCTGAGAAGAATTGTTGTTGTTGATGTTCACTGACGTTTCGACAACCTTAGCGGTAGTCATCTTTGTAATATTCTTTATTTTTCTCGATACGTCTCTGACTCTGTCAGTAAGACTACTCCCTATGTACACGACTACGGGTTTCTTATATAGATAAGAATTAGCATAAATTTATATTAATCATGTTTTATATCAATATATTACAACCCCCCTTTTTAAAACTATTATCCTTATATTTTTCTGTCTGATTTTTCTACTAATTTCATTCTAGTTTAAATAAACGATAACTAAATATTCCCTATGTAATGTAACTAATGTTCTGATTTTATAAATGTCTATATTAAAGGTTAAACATAGTCTTTTCATCGCATTGGCTTACTTACGATACATCCTGATCTTCTCTTCATTGGTGATAAAGTCGCTCCAGTTGAACATGTCGATTGCTCTTCTTTTACTCTTGTTTCTTTAAGTTGTGTTTGTTCTTTTGTGTCTGCTTCATTTTTCTTTGATTGCAAACGAAGGGGAGACTGGAAATTTTGATCATTAGTTTTCCTCAGATGTCTTCTATTTCGTTGATATTCTGCCCCCTCAGATGTTTTCATATTATAACTTCTTGGGGTGTCCGTTTTGCTTATGACAACGGCTGGTTTCCATTTCCCTTCTCTTTCAACATAAATATTTTCACCTTCAATGAAGTTTTCGAGGGATTCGATGATCTGTCGTAGTATTTTTTCTGTTGTTTTTGCTTCTTTTCCAATTTTATTTGGATGATTTCAGGATTCACTGTTTTTGGAATAAGTTGCTTTGTCGAGGATGGCATATTTGATCGAAGTCTTCTTCCCTTGCTTAATTGTGCTGGTGATCCAATGTCATCAATTGGTGTATTTCTTTGCTCTAATATGGCTAAATTTAAATCTCGATTATCTCTTCGAGCTTTCGTTAGAGTGGACTTTGCCGTTTGTAACGTTTTCTCCGTTACACCATTTGATTGTGGATAACCTGGGCTGGACGTTATGTGTTCGAACACCCACGTTTTGGCAAATTCAGCAAACTCTTTTGAGGAGTATTGTGGACCATTGTCGGATTTAATGATTTCTGGAATTCCATGTCGTGCGAAGAGTGTTTTCATTTTATCTATTATTGCAGGACTCTTTGTGTTGGTAGTTTTAAATATCTCCCAGAATCTACTGTAATAGTCCACAAACAGAAGGTAGTCATCATTATTCCAATAGAACATGTCTGTTGCCACAATCTGCCATGGGTATTTAGTTATTGTATGTGGTAACATAGGCTCTTTTTGATTGCTGCATCTATATTTAGCATCAATTGAGCAATTTTCAACAACTGTCTGAATATCTTTATTTATACCTGGCCAGTATACCAGCTCACGAGCACGCTGTTTACTACTTTCAATGCCCATGTGGCTTTGATGAATTTTATTTAAAACACTTCCTCGCAGTGAGGGTGGAATGAAGATCTTTTCTCCTTCGAACACCACACCTTCAATTACTGTCAGTTCTTCTCTGCAGCTCCATAATGGTTTTAAGAAGCTTGAAAGATTTTTCTTGTCATTCGGCCAACCTTCAGTAATCACTCTCACTAGCTCTTTCATCATTTCATCCTTCTTAGTTTCTTCTTTAATTTCTCTTAATTTGCCGTCAGACAATGGTAGCATTGAGATCATAGCAATCGTTTGATAATCCAAATCAAGTGCTTTCTCCTCTGATTTGCAATTTGACAAATGGGCTCTGGACAACGTACCTGCTATGTATAATTCAGTTCGCGGTTTGTATTTTACCTCAATATCAAACCGCTGTAAATTCAGGAGCATTCTTTGCAAGCGAAGTGGTGATTTATCCAACGATTTCTTGCTGATGGTTTCCAGTGGCTGATGATCCGATTTTACCATGACATGCTTGCCATAAGTATACTGATAGAAATGATTACACCCAAACACGACCGCTAGCAATTCTTTTTCTGTGCATATCTTTTCTGCTTGTGTCAAAGATCTTGAAGCGTATGCTACTGGTCTATTTGATTGAATAAGTAGACTAGGAGCAGTGTTCCAAGGCCCGTGTATAATATCTGCCAAATATTGTGTCATCTATAAGTAGCCTTCAGAAAGTTTTCTAATTGTTCCTTAAGTATCAACATAAAAGTGGAGGAAGCAGTCCCATTGGTGTTCAACAAAAGAATTATGATAAAACAACAGGATATGGCTGTGAAAAATCTGTATGAACTTGTAACGACGTTCACATGTAGCTATGTGGAAATGAAATTCAAACTTTAAGAAACTCACCGAACTGTGTGAACGAATAAATACTGCTCCTAGTCCCGATTTCGGGGCGTCTACTTGAAGATAAAGTGATTTCATTACATCATAATATGCTAAGATGCTAGGCTGTGGACTTGAGAGTAAGGTCTTTATCTCTTGAAAAGCAGAGAATGTCTCTCGGTCCAGTGCCACGCTATGTCTTTTTTAAGTAACTGTCGTAAAGGTGAAGTGATTTCCGATAAATTTGGTTCAAATTTTCCAACATAATTAACCATACCAAGAAGCCTTTGAATTCCCTTCTTGTCTTCGGGTTGTGGCATGTTCACGATTGCTTCTATTTTCTGTGGATCTGGTTTGACACCTTTGTGTGTGAGCTGATGTCTAATATACACCGCACTCTATTTTCTAAAGTGACATTTTTCTAGCTTAAACTTTAGATTGCACTCTCTAGCTCGACCAGTGTTTCCTTGAGACGCTCATCGTGTTCTTCAAGTGTTTCCCCCCAAACAAGAATGTCATCAATGTCTGTTTTGACCACAGCTATATCTTTAAAGATTTCATGTACTCTTTTGTGAAACACTTCTTGAGCACTTCGAATTCCAAACGGCATTCGGGTGAATCTAAAACGCCCAAACGGTGTATTGAAAGTCGTGAGCTTGAAGCTTCCTTCATCCAGAGGTATTTGCCAATAGCCGATCTTGCATCTAACGTCGAGAAGAAACATGCACCTGGCATTCGAGCAATGATTTCTTCGATAGTCGGAAGCTGATAATGTTCTCTTTTCAAAGCTTTATTGAGGTCATGAGGAACAATACAGATGCCTAAACTTCCATCTTTTTTCTCGACAGCAACCATCGAATTGACCCAATTCGACGGCTCATCGACTTTAACCAAAATTCCTTGCTTCATCATATCTTCGAGGGTTTTTGCTAGATGTTCTCACAGAGGATGTGGAACTTTTCGTGGCGGATGTATGACCGGCTGTACATCAGGGTCCACTTTCATGTGATATAGTTTTGAGAGACAGCCAAGACCTGTAAATACATCTTCATATTTGGTTCGAATTTGTTCTGAATATTCATCTGTAGAAGCATGTTGTGTTGACTTTGACGCGCTCTCATCGGATACTTGTGATTTCAGTCCTTGAATAAACTTGACGAGGTTTAATTCTTTGCAGGCTTTGCTATACTGAGTATAGGCTCACTGGGTGTATCTGATATAAAGAATTCCAAATCGTACTCTTCTTCTCGGTATTTGCAATGCAGAGTACATACAGCTTTAACGGGAACAGGCTTGCCGTTGTATGCGATGAGATTAACTGCTGGCTTTTGTAACGGTATTCTTGTAGTGCTTGGTAAGGATTTATATGTTTTAACTGGGATGACGTTCACCTCTGCCCCAGTATCTAGTTTTAACTTGACTTCAGTATTGTTCACGCACAGTGTTGCATATTCCGCTTGATTGTGATTGATTCTTGTTTCGTTTACGGCAGCTTGTATTGTATCGAGGAATAGGAAATCGTCGCTTACTTCTTCTTAATTAGATCCATTATTAGATCCCTTTGTCTCAATCGAGTTTAATTTTCCACTTGAGCGACACATCTTGGCGTAATGATTGAATTTCTTGCATTTATTACATTGCCGACGAAACGCTGGACATTTTTGTTTAGGATGTTTGTTTCCACAATGCATGCATTTCTTTTCTATGTTATTTTCATCACAATTTTCCTTTTGCCTTTTATCAACGTGCTGCCTTTTAGAGAAGTTTTCTCGTCGTGGATGACGAGGACTGTGGATGGAATCGATTTCATTCTCGTTATCGAACAGTTTTAATTGTTGTATCGACAATAATTCATCCCCTTGACACATTTCAATCGCTCGAGTGAGTTTCGATTCGGGTTCTCGAAGAAGTCTTTCCCTGACTCTTTTTGAGATGATACCACTGACAATTCTGCTGCAACTAAGGTCCTCCTTGATCTCACTCCACTCGCAACTTGCTGCCAAGGTCTTAAGTTCAGTTACATATTGGTCGATGCTTTCCGACTTTTTCTGAATTTCTTGTCAAGAATCTATGTCTCTCCACGATTAAATTTTTCCGTGGTTTACAATATTGTTCGAATTTCTGAAATAGTATTGGTACTGTCACTATTTCTAAGCCATCTTTATTTAATTCGAATTTAAAGGTATCTCTGATGTCTTGTCCTTGTCGACCGATCATGCACATAAAGATAGCGACTTTTTCTTCTTTGCTTTTATTCTTACATGTCGAGGTTAAGTAATACTGTATACTCCGCCTCCATTTCGACCAAACTTCTGATAAATTTGCCGTTTCAAAATTGAGTTCACCTGGTCCTTTCATATCGTTCATTATTGCGATCCTACTCCTGACACCATGTAA